GCAGGCATGTTTGTCAATTTTTAGAAAAATAAATAAATTTTAAATAAATATGATTACTTTATATTACAAGCAAGCTATACCCATAGTTTGCGCCTAAAACGTATTAGAGTTCTCCTAATGTTATCGCTTTAGTTATTCACTCTCAAACGGGCCCCCTCCATCAGTGCGCGTTAATGCAACTGTCCACCACCTCATGCCTTACGATTTTTCCTGCCCCAAGTATTTTTTCTAGTCAAAACTAAGTTTGGATTCGTTCATACCAGACACTAGACAATAACATATAAAAACATCAGTTGATTTGAAAATGTCGACTAGCCATCCTTTGGTCGATCTTATCTGAAATCACCCAGTTATGACCTTGTTTTGTTGCAGGCGTTTATACTCGATGACGAGCAGCGTACAACTATTTAGGCCCTGTGCTGTTTTTGGATACACAACAAATATACACATTTTTATTATTATTATTATTATTATTATTATTACTATTACTATACTAATAATAATTCTTGCTTATTATAGTATGCTAACTTTACTAAGGTATGGCATCACATTATTTGGTAACTGTGCAGAAATATGGAAAAACTAAAATTGACCGCATTCTTAGGAATTTGTTAAGAAGTGTCGGTTATCATTATGATCTTTCATCAGAAGCTGACATCTTTGAGGCTCTACAACTGCCTAACTTCCATTCACTTTTTTTGCAATGTGTTGCGCTTTCTCATTTCTGGTGTAGTGAATTTAAACATTCTTTTGTGCCCCGCAGAGATTGACGTACCTCTGATCGCTTTATAATCCCCCGGTGTTTTAGAAGATATGGTAAGCGAGAGCACTCTTACTGTGTGTATACATTCTTAACAGACTCCCCGACCACTTCTTTCAAGCTCCAGTAGTAAAAAAACTAAAAAAAAGAAAACCCTCGAACAGTTTTACGCTCTAATTAATTGTACAATTTCAATAGTGTAGTGTTGTGTGATATTTTGTATCTAAGATGCTTGCTGTGATATTGTGAGGTGATTATTTTCTGTTTCTCGTATAATGGCGATAGATGTTTTAAATGGGTGCTCTACAGACTTCTTCTGTGCTATATGTGACATTCCATTTGCTGGGTACTGTCCTTCGAGCCTCTACTGGCTTCGACAGACCCGTTACTTTAGAGTGTTATCAAGGTACCTAAATAAATAAAATGATGATGATGATCATGATGTATTCTTGTTTTTAAGGTAGAGCTGCCTTTACTATTCCGGTTGCTTTTTCTAGGTTGATCGGAGGTTCTTCGCTTGTTTCTGCCGGAGAGGTAAGACTTGTTGCAAAGCTGCTGGTGCTTCTCTTGCCTGCGTGGTGGTGTGGTGTGCCGTCTCGTTTTGGGATTCCAGTGTGTCCAGGTAGCCACTTAATGGTCAGGTTAGAATTGTTTTCTGAGCTTCTCTAATTACAGTGCTATTTTTAACAGTTCTCATTGTTCTATCCTGTTTACACGCTCTACACGCCATCGGCGGGTCTGAAAGTCTAGGCTTTGTACAACATTTCGAGAGTTCATTGAATCGCTTTCGGCAGCTGCCAGGATGGATCTCAGTTCGGCCATTTTGACTGAATTCTTCTCCGCATCTTTATGTTCCGATCCTGCTCCCAGTTTATTTCGCCCATGCTGTAGTAACAGCCTCAGAGTTATTCAGAGCATCCGTATATTAACTTATTTGTCACCTATTTCTTTTGTCCCCCCCCCCCCCCCCCCCCTTCATGTAATGCCTCCGGGCGCTTTGAGGGAAAAAATAAATTAAATTAAATTAAATATATTTGATTGATGAAGAATCTGCTAGCACAGAAACGTTTCCACTCTTTCAAAGAATTGTCAGCGGAAGTAAAATCTTTCCCTTTGCGATGCGAAAAGATACAAAAAGAGGCTATTTCACGGTATAAAAAAGGGGCGATCAATATGAATAAATTGTAGTCGCACTCTGTCTTCCGACGTAACAAAGATACCACATTGATCAAGAGTTCCCAACACAATTTGTAGGTATTTGTTATTAATTACAAATATGGCAAATGCTTATAATTTAACTGTTTGGTTTGTTTCGAAAATAAAATAAAATACATTTATTTTCCCTGTAATGCCAAATTAGAGCGCAAATGCTAATTAGAGAGCAAATTAGAGCTCGGTGCAGAGAGGGTGGTAGGCCCCTCCTCCTCCCTCTCCCCCTCCTCCTCTCATTCTTCTCCCTTGCTCCCCTCCCTCGTGACGTCACTCATGAAGGCCTCGTGAAGGTCGTGACCTTCGCGAAGTCACGCGTGGGTCACGCGTGACCCTCTTGATGCGAGACCCTCGTGACGTGACGTCACGTGTAACGCCATTATGGGAAACGTCCCATAATGCAACGCAAGGTTACGCCGACGGCGACGGCGACGCCGCTCAAGCCGGAAACGGGCACCTAAGAGCTGCGCTCTAAAAGGTAATCATTTTATTTTTAGAGCGAGCTTTTTTTTGTAATGTGATGTCATAAAATGTATAAACTTATGAACAATGAAAGTGAGACAGGGGAAAACGTAAAGCAGTAACGAGGGAGTCGGAGCAGAGTAGCGCAATCTAGAACGCCCTCTTTCGGCGACTAGCGGCGAACGCCCGGGGGTTCCAACTCCCATCAGAAATGCATGGGGAAGGTGAGAAAATCGCTGTTTCTTCAATATTGTGGGGATGTACGGAACGTCAATAGTTTTTGACATAATAAAGAAACATTTTAGAATAATTTGCGCTATGTTGCATGCCATGTAAGGGCGTGCCATGCTTGAGCGGCATTACGCAGCAGACGACGCGGCGACGTCACGGAGACGTCGCACCGTCCACGTGACCCGCTCCGGCCAACCCAGGTGACCCGCTCCGGCCAACTCGCCTGCATCGCCACTTAGTTCAACCCCCAGGAAGTCCATCTCCGCTGCATACAAAAATCGTCTGCTTCAAACGCAGACGATTTTTGGAAATTGCCTTTTCAAAATTTTCACACGCATCCGATATTATAAAAACGCTAATAAAGTGTTTAGTGCTTTACCAACTTCACGACAGACTAGTTTCGAAAAGTGTGAACTTGGCATTTATCTTTTAATCAGCCGTGTTGAGTCGATCTCCCTGTATTCTCCCATAGGGCGGTCCGCCTCCTGGAACCCCGAGTACCACGTGACTCGCGCCGCGCTGCTCTGTCGGCAGTGTCTGTCCGCACCCCCCCCCCCCCCCCCCCCCCCCCCCCCCCCGCAGCCCCTTCGTGACGCCACTGTATCTACCCTGTGAGAAGAAATAATCTACCCACAAACCAGTTTGCAAATAATTTATTTGCGTACAGTAAAAAAAAAAAAGAATTGGCAATGTTTAATAATGCATGAAATGGCAAAGTTCTATAACGCATGATATGGAGTTTTTAAGAGTGACTGTTTCAATTGTTTGGAAGTAATTAAACAGTTACTTGTTCCAGGAATGAAGCCAGGGAGGGGGAAGGAGGATACTGTAGGGTTGTCACATGATCAGGGAGGGGGAAGGAAAGGCACTGCAGGAGGGGGTTGATGGCAAAAGGGGAGCAAAAGAGGGTGGGGGCACTGTAAGAGGCTGAAGAGTGATTGGGAGAGGGGAACATAGAGGAATGGGGAGAGGGAATTGGTGTGTCTTGTGGCATAAATTTCCCCACTAAATTTAGTGTTGGAACTGAATTTGTTGCGTCCCATGACCAAGGTGGGGTGGGGAAGGGAGAGGGTATCCTAGGAGGATGGGAAGAGGGGGGGAAGGAGGGGGAGCAAGAGGAAAGATGTCAGATGTGGAGGACACCCGGGGGAGGGGGGGAGAGAGAAGGGGACAGAAACGATGGAGAGAGGGGATTGGTGCATCATGGGACATCAATTTCTCCGCTACATTTAGCAAAGAAAGTGAATTGCTGTATAGGTCACGTGACATAAATTTCCCCACTAAATTTATTAAAAAAATGCACGAATGAACGGACAGACATCCAGACAGACAAACAATATTTTGGGACTAGGGGGTTCCGTTAAAAAGCATTTTATGCTTTAAAAATAAAAGATGAGGTTCTACAGCGGTTCACTAAATGTAGTGGGAGATCAAATTCAAGTCCTACATTCCTTTAGAAAATCCCCCCTAGCATAAAATAAATACTGTGACAGCAGGAGAATGAAGCATTGAAGATGCCAGTTAGATGAGAGACCTTGATCATGAGTTCCTTCTAGGTTTCACCACAAGAACCTTTCGTCCACAAGAGCCTTCTTGACCAGGTTTCTCCTGCTCAGCAATCTTCGAAATCCTTCTAACATCTGAAAAGTTAAGAATATTTTAGTACTTCTTATGCCACCTTAAAGGCCAATAAGCAGCCAGAAAAAAAAACAAAAAAACTGCCTCAATTCCTCCTTTCTGTATAAGAAAGAGGGAACCATCCTCTTGCTGCAAGTAGCAGCTTAGAGACCCACTCCTGTGGGGAGGAAGAGAGAAGAATGCAAGAGAATGGAGAGAAGGAAACGAATTTCTTCCTGGAAGATGACGGCGGAATTTTCACTACACAACTACACAAGTCTCCACCTTGCCACATAGAAGAAAACTAAAGAAAAAAGCAAAATCTTTGCCTCAAGTCTACTATTGCAGTTTAAATTGTTTCACTTCAATTTTTTTTAAATACTTTTTATAGATAAATTAGCAAACCTTGTCAATGATGTAGGTGAAGACTGCAGAGATGACAAAGTCAGAAGATGCAAAGTCAATCACACAAAACATGAGCATGTCGAAAATAACAAGCGTAAGCTCGTGCCCATGGTAGATGACAGCATCAAAGGAGTGTCCATTATCTGAAATTATATAAAAAGCAGGTCATAAGAAAATCAATCTTGATAAAATGAAAACTGATGCATCCAAAGTTTTTTTTTCTTACCATTGTAAAAAAAGCCACGGTCTACAACGTCACTGAACTCAATGTCAAGCAACTTCTCAAAAAGTGTTCGATCTTTTACAGTGTAGTCAATATCCTTCAGGGACTGTAAAAGCACACAGATCAAAATGAGAAAAAGTAAAACAGTTAAAGGGGGGGGTGCAACCATTTCCGGACTTCGGTCAAAAAGTTGTGGAAGTCGCCCTCTGACTACTTGTAAGGTAAAGAACAGAACAGAACTCCGATTTCGCCTGCGTGTCCTCGTTGTTGTGTAAAAAAAAAAAGGATAAATATTGGCATTTCTGGCACCTCTCAACTCACTCCGTCTTCAGGGTCACACCTGGTCGCGCTTCTAGTGACGTAATTCGAGCTGCCGTGTAGGTTCCCCGCGTTTTCTCTCGGAGGACGCTTCCTCTCCCTCTATCTGTTGAGATTAGTGGGCGTTATGCTGCAGTTTAGAGTCGAGCAAGGTCAGGTAATCTCGCCATAGTTCCTTCGGCTGCCACTTGCGGCTACAGGTGGGGGAGAAAGCTAGACTTTTGCTTTGCGATTATGTAGCGGAATCGCAACGTTTTTTAATGAAGGAGATGTTTTCTCTATCCTCCGGGACACGATAAATAATGTAAAAATGACGAGATACAAATTCTTTTAATCTTAAAATCGTTGCACCCCCCCCTTTAATGATGTCTGCTCACATGAGGCCAACGATGCAGAGCTGACAAAAATGTAAATACAATATACAGGGTGTTTCACCCATGAATGAGAATAGTAATTAAAAAAAAGAAGGCACTTGAAATGAAGTGATTCTTTTGGGATAACAATATTGACCATGGCGAATGTCAGGTTATGTAAGGTGATAAATACCAAGTTAGTGACCCAAAGTCGCTCATGAACTTTTGAAATATGCTCCTTGCCTGCCACAATCCATTTAGAGCTTTTTGCCAGTCGTACAAGTACTATCTCCCAGCTGGTGTTAGAACTTGGACAACTAAACTGTACTCCATGCTATTCTCTTCTCTGGTAAATTTAAACTGTAAAAAGGCACACCATGCTCTGATGTCTCCTCAGGCGCTCAGCTATAGGCTTTTTTTTTTCCCCTCAACTTCAGAACGGGGGACTCCAGGCAGCCTAACTATGCCACAAGACGGCACGGAAAAGAATTTAATTTTTCTGACTTCTAAAAATTGCTATAGCATATTTGGAGGACAGGCAACAGGTCTCCAACTGAAATGTGACAGATAAGGAAAATATTTTATAAGGTAGACAGTAGATTTTAGGTGACTCGATTTCTAGTTATCACATTTCATTCATACTCTGACGCCTGCCACAGTTGACAATGCTATTCCAAAGAAATCATTTCTTCATTTGAAGCATCTTTTTTTTTTTTTTTAATTATTTACAGTTATTGGTGAAACATCTCGGAGAGTCGCAGCCTGCGGGATGAGACTCTCCAAGACACAGCCCGCAGGCTGCATCTCGGAGAGTCGTGGCCTGCAGGCTACGGGCAGCCCGCATGCTACGGGTGATCTGATCTCGTCGGTTCATTTTCGCTTGATAAGGATCCCTGCCCTTTTAACATATTCACATAGTTTATACTTATCTGTGTTCATTTGCCCTTTGTCTCGCTTAATTTTTTGCTTCCGATCTTTTTGTAATGTACAAAAATTCCGCTATTTGGCTGCAAGCGCGAGCTATTTATTGAAGGATGCATCTCGGTTGTGCAAACTCCCGATCAGCGGGAGCAAATGCCAAAGATGAAGCTACAAACTCGGGATTTTTTACTTAAAAATATATATATATATATCCCCATTAAAAAACAAGTATATTTGTTCAGGGCGTTGTAATAAAAACAGTCAGAAAAGCAAGAACTGTCAATTTAACCGATTGTTTCTTAGGGACACAGTGAGTTTGGTTAATTCTTGAGTGAATCAAGCAACGGGAACGATAGTGTACTTGTTCTCTTGTTCCATTAAAAATGCCAGCACGTTGGCAGGGCGGTATAATTTTAATTCTTGTTTTCACATGAGGTCAGGGCCCAAAGTAGTCATTCAAACAAATCAAATCTATAGATGTGACTGGCAAAACTGAGAGTTTACAAAAAGCATAGAGCATTGAGAACCCCTGATTAGAATATAGTTTTCCATAGACACACATGCAGCTCATTCACGACACGCTTAATAACTCTGACGTGGACTTCTTCACTCATTTTGAAAAGTTCAAGAAAAGTGTACTATTACGTTTCCTTGCTAGTCATATTTTTTAATTGCCTCACGTATATATGCACCCCTCCTAAGGCCTACCAGGTGTTTGGGGACACTACAGAACACATGATTGGTTGATTGCAGGGCTGGGTGGAGATACTCCAAAAAGTATTTGGGAATACAAATACTGAGATTCATGTATTTTAAGACTCAAAATAGAGATACTGAGATACATTTGTATTTTATGCAACGGGATTTTAAGACTCAAAATAGAGATACTGAGATACATTTGTATTTTATGCAACGGGATATCCCGAGATACTTCTGCAAAAATGGCGAAAAAGTACTCTGGAATAAAAAGACGGATACTTATAGAAATACATTTGTTCCCGAACGGTGTTACGTGGGGAGGGTGTAGTTTGTGGCAAATGCAAACGGTAAGTACGCTTGTACTCCTCTTTTTGTGTCATTTCATGCACTTCCCCTTGCTTTGAACTCTTCATTTATATTAATGCCGCTAAAAACAAAAACAAAAAAACTTCACCCCCGATGAACCACATAGTTACTGAACGGTAAAGACTGCGTGCTTCGCTTGACAAAAGGCGTCTGCACGAAATGAATCCTGTTTTGCCGTGACAGAGCATCTCAAACTGTTGTGTTGTATGCTTCTGAATCACCCATAATGTGGGGAGACTAGACAACAGAGCCATACCTTCTCTACACTCAACTCCTTTACAGCGTTCGCTCTAAATCAACTGGAAAAAGTGAAGGGCTTCGTGAGAGGCCCGTTCACACTCTTGTGACCCCTTAAAACTTAGTGCCTTGGAACCTCTTAATATCTCGTACGAGAGGACATACTGGTGCCATCTATTGGGTAGCAGAGTAAACTTAGCGGTACGGCATATTTTCTATTTCTCTAGCGCATTATCCTTTCTTCCTTGGCTCAAAAAAATTTTGTCAATGTTATAAACGAGCCTTTCTTATAGGTGTTAGCGCAATTGACCTCGGAAATCTCGCAAAACCTTCGCTCTTGTGAAACGCAGTTCCAGGGTCACCGCATAGATGGCACCAGACTGCCCGTGTGTTCCCTCATCCTAAGAAATTTTAAGAGGTTTCAGCAAGTCTCGTCTCTCTCGGTCGTACTCGGTTGTAAGAGTGTGAACGAGCCTTTATAGGGCAGGTTCACATTATAAATTTGCCCACTTTCCACTTCTGTTGCAGGAAAATCCCATGTGTATTTCAAGTGAGCAAAACTCATTTGTGAAAAAGAAAGCTATACCTTCTCAACAGTTTTGATATAAATACCACATCCTGGCTGTCCTGGTGTTACCTTACTAAAAATATTTACGAAAGAAATGGCAATATGAATAAACCGAACTGAGTCAGCACAAAGGTATATCAGAATGGCATCGATTTGAGCAAATTTCCTGCTTACGTGATCGAGAAAGGCAGATAAAAACTTGGTGACAATGTTATATGTGTTGACAACAGTATCAATATTGGCCCTGGAAAGATGTCCATCCGCTGACAAAAAAAAAAGACAATGTTGAAAATTGGTCCGGTCACAGTGCTCTCAAATGCACTTTGATCTTTCTGAAACAGCACATATTTTTTAAAAATAGAATCTTACATGAATAAAAAAAAATCTAAACCAAGGCCATAAAACCAGAAAGCCAGTAATAGTCATGCACAATTCACCTCATTTAATACAATCATAATGCAAAGTGCCACCTCAAATATTCTGCTTAAGGGGATACTGAACCTAAATTCGGATTTTGAAAAATAAGAATGCAGAAGTGCCGAATGGGACGCTACAAACTCCAAGCCACAACTCGTACATCGGCATCTCGAATGGACGGCCATACTTTCGGGAAAGAAGGGCGCGATCAAGCGAGGGCTACGACGTCATTGTCCTCCTGGAAAATTTGAGAACGAGGGGAAGCGGCCTCGCTTTCCTCGGCCTCGCTTTTCTCCTCCTCGCTTCGGTTCACCAACTCGACGGGACGTAGCGAGGAGGAGAGGGAATGAGAATTGCGATGTGATTTGTTGTCTCGTCGGCCTCGTCAGCAGTGTTCAATCGCGCACTTCTTTTCTAAAAATATGGCGGTCCGTTAGAGATATCGGCGTATGAGTGATGTTTCGGGGTTTTGTAGCCTCGTTCCTATCCGTCCAGCCTTGTTTTGCGAGCTCGAAATTTCGGCTCAGTATCCCTTTACGACAGAGGAATAATATTTGGCTTTTTAGCCGTTAACCCAAAACGAAAGCATAAACTGTATCTCTATCATCTAAATATTTAATGATCCAATCATCCTCTCGAGAGTTACAAGTCTGAACATTCAGACTGATTCTGTCAGCATACATTTCGGTTAAACTCTTTGCCTTTCTAATAAATATTTGGCGCAGTATGGCCATAGTAGCTTTGCGCCAAAAAGCCCGTAATCAACGACATCTAATAAATATTTTTTCTCTCATTATTCAAGTAAGGGAGAGAATTTAAAACCTGAATGAATCGAGTTCAAGTGGCACTTCTCTGAGGAAAGGATCAGCTTAAGAGTAACAAACACTATTAATCAGTGTGTGTGGCTGTTTCTATTTCGAAATTCACTAAAATATGATACCGTAAAATACCAAGCATCGACCCATTGCACAACAAGCGCCCACCCCTCAATTTTGCAACATTCAGAAATTACAAAAAGGGCATAACTTTACATATTGTTGACCTAAGGAGTGCCCATCCCCCAGTTTTACATAAATTAATTATCTCCATATTTTGAGTGGGTGCTTGCTCAGGATTTCACGGCAAATGTGAAAATTATGCCAGATGCTCTCAATGTATACTAGTACTATATACAGATAAGAAAAGTGTATGCTCCTACCTATCTGGATTCTATCTGGTGCTTGAGTGTACTAGAAAAGAAACAAAAAAACAGTGTCATTTAATTAATCATTCAAGGTTTTTTTTATTTATAGCTTTATAGCGTTTTTGAATAAGTCAGATGAAGCCGAAAAACACTCACCGGTAAGAATATTGAAGATTTGAATTTATCCGAAAAGCTCAGAATTTCGTGACTGTCAGTGGTGAAAACCTAACCAGTACCCAAATATTTTTTCTTGACTCCCAGGACAACTTATGAAATTTTTATTTGTTACGACTGTTCTTTGTAAAAGTAACAAAAGAATGTCTTTTGACCTCCTATCAGAAAAAAAGGAAGTAACTTTCCTATGATAAGAGTGAAACAGGTATCGCTATCCCTGCCACTTCACTTAGAACCTTCCTCCTGGGCACATCTTTTTCCTAGATGTTCATTCGTCTTTCTCCTGCCTCCCCCTTTATGGGGATTATTTGTCGTGTACGCTGACGACACTGCCAGAGATTCAGTCAAACTTTTCAAGACCTCTGCATGATGTGCAGAAATCAAAAGCTACCTCGAAATCAGGCCAAAAAAGAGTATATAAATTTTGAAATGACTGGCAGAAACAACAATATTGTCTATACGTTTTGCCACGTACAAGCTATAGCGTGCCAAATGGAAAAGGTATCCTCCACATTGCTCAGTACTAAAATTCCAATTGGCACATCCATACGAAGAAAGCTTGTCTGGAGACAGATAAGTCTTTTTCATTAGCTGTGTGTTTTTTGTTGTTGCTGTTTTTTGTTTTTTTTTACATTGTAACCCAGGGGCAGGGGACAAACGGGACTGACAACGCAAAGGATCTAAACATAGCTGAAGTTTCATTAGGCCAAATCATCCTGTTGTCCATCAAATTTTGCCCCCGCTCCTGGGTCACCATCTCAGTATTGAACAAGCTCGCCTGCACACTTGATTCGTTTTTTGTTTTTTTTTACAAATAATTTATATAATGAAAGGCTGATCTCTCAATCTATTGGCTATGAGAAAACTTCTTTACCGAGCATCTGAAAAACTAAAAATTTTGTGAACGATGAATAAAGCTCCAAATAACACTGAATTTTAGCAAAAAAATATATTCTGAATGACACCCTCCAAATTTGCTCAAAAATAGTAGTCTGAAAATGAAGCAACCTGCTTATAAGATGAAGTTATGTTTCTAAAGTTCAACGTCATTAAAAAAATTATATAAATGTTAAATACAGCACTACTGCCAGTAATCTGCATAGTTCAACACATTTCGTATACAACTATATTCAAATAGTCTAAAGGGACACTGACACACCCTCCCCCCCCCCCCCTCAATACAATTTTAATTTTTTGCCAGGCGATTGTCAGAAGACTAGCCCATCAATATTTTGTGACAGTGTCACATATATTCTTAATAAAGTAAAACAACGCAACTGCTCGAAACCGAAACTGGACTGGGGAGGAAGAAGAAATATAGAAAAAGAAAATGTTGCTGGGAGTCACGTGACTGAGCAACTGTTTTTCTTTCAATCAACGTATTTGCACCTCTTTAGAAGCCACAAAAAAATTGGTCTATTTTTAATATTAAGTGTGTGCCTTCGATGACCCACGACTTTGATTATATTTGGTGGTTGTTTAAACCATAGAAAATGGCACGTGACCACGGAGAAGAGCGTGAGCGTGACTCAAACCGTCCAATTCTCGATCGGCGGTTTTCGGGTGGAAAGAAAACAAATTTCGAGCTGCAAATTGTGTTCTGCGTAGTTAGGGTCTCGTGTGCCATGTACAAATAAAAATCTATGCGAGCATAAATACCCTGTCAGTGTCCCTTTAAGTGAGAGATTCCCTAGTTCAGAAAATGCAAGTCCTGACTGGTAAATTTAAAGGAATGTTCCGACTTCCCGTGCATGCAAGCAAGTAAGCTTAATTGCTTATTCCTTACCATAGTAAGTGGTCTCCGCATGCGACAGTATTGCTCATAAACGCTGGCTGGCAATGCCATCTGGAAAGTTTGCTGCTCGGTATCTGGCAAGAGGCCTCTATGGCCACACAGGTCTTCCTGAAAAATGTAATAAAAAGAAAATGGGCTTCATTTATGTGTAATGGCAATACACCGACAAAGGTACAAAATTTATCCATGTAATATTCTACTGGTTCATTTTGTTTCAGCATCCATCACATAGGCTGTTCAGGAACTAAGCTAATAAAGGCTATAGAAAGGCTTTGGAATTCCAGCAGGACTCCCTTTTCCCACTATAAACTGGGAGTGCAAACTCATGCCTGTCTCAGGCGCTCTTGCTGAATTATTCCCATGGAAAACTGAGGGCAACATGTTATTTGCAAACGACAGGCCATGACACCTCTGGAATGAGGCTTTTGTTGGATATGTGGGAAAGAAGAAGGTCGACGAGACATAATCAAACCTATAAAACATGCTCTATTTACTATGTAGCTTCCCTGCTGATGCCGCCACCAATTTGAAAGCAAGGTTGATTTGTGAGTCTGCTCACCGTAGCCCAGTTGTGCAAAGAGCAAAGCATGGTGAAGAAAGTGGAGGGGTTTGCTTTCCTGTTTTGACTGGGCTAAGTTTATTGATAGCTTGAACATTTCGTGTTGGTCATCCCTGAACCAAGCTTCCAGCAGTGTTCACAAGACTAATAAGACTTCTACCAACCCCAGATGGCTGTATAAGTAAGGAAGTCCAGAGCATTCATTTATGGTTTGCATCTAAAAAGGTTTAAATATATGATTAAAATAGGTATTAATCGATTCACCAAAGCTGACCGACTTTTGTGAGCCTCTTTTTTTTTTATACATGTAGCTGTACCAAGAATTTTTCCATAGGAGAGCATTCACTATTGCTACTGTACTGGATTTGACCGGCTGAAAAATGAGATTGATGCTTGCTTCATACTTCCAGCACCACATAGCAGTTGCTTCCGGAAGCGCAGCACAAGAGCCAAAATTGTGATGCCAATCTGAAAAAAAGCTTTCTTCCACATCGAGCATCCATTGTGTTTCAAGGAGGACTTGCTATGCGGCGCTGGCAGCACAAAGCGGTCATCATCCAAATGTTACAGCCAACGAAGTCTAGTGTAGTACATAGTACTATACGAGAGTGTCAGAACTAGATAATGCAAACCTACGAAAAAACCCAAACCAGTGCTAGCCGTGCTCTAAGATGTAACACCTTAAAGAAAAATGTGCATTAAAGGGCAACTCCGCTCAATTCCGAAAAATTTAGGCTTACATGCGATTCAAATTCACAAAGCACTACTAAACAACTCTACGTCTTCGGATTCACGAAATGTGGAATATTATTTGTGTAATCCTAATTTAAACATCAGCTGATACCGAAACCGAAACTTCGGTTGCGTCAGGCAACATTGGTCTCGGGTCGTCAGAGTCATGGCCACGTCACGTCGAACCACGTGGTGTTGTGACGTTCGGGAGGGAGCGAGAAACAGGACACGCGACGCGGGCAGGCGGGCAGGTCGCTTCGCATGGCGTGGACGGTGATGGCCCTGGGGAGAGGGGGAAGGGAAGAAGACGAAAGAGGAGAAGGGGAGCGGAGAAACAGACCGATAAGCGCACAGGGCAGCGCAAACGAGCGCATCCGTGTTACGGTGATCACGTGGACGCCCGGTCAGCCAACACCGGGAGGAGAAACTCATGACGTCATCGTTCCATTTCGCTCCGAGAAGTAAAAGCAAGCAAAACGTGAGAATGACGTAGTCATGCCTCTGACGTAGTGGCTCAATGTCGGCTGCTCCAACTCCGTGGCGTTGACTGCGCTGATGATAGCGCCTCGCGCCGCACGCTAGAGTTGGCAGATTTCGGCGACTTGGCTCGCTTGAAGGTTTGCTGGCCAGTTTATTAAATATATAAACGGAATTAGATCGTAATATTTGACATGGGGTCTTCCTATATCATACTGAAGAGGGCTACATAGTTTTATAAATATCAAAAATGAAGCGGAGTTGCCCTTTAATGCTTCCAGACTTTTCTCCCCTCAGTGCCAAAAACCGAATATTGTTTGAAACATAAAATGGTTTCTCAGAGTCCATTTTTTGCAATGTAATAAATGGGATGAAGCTTGCACTAGAAAGGCAAGTTGGAATGACTATGGGTATATGTGAATAGGGGTGTGAATTGCACAGCCCTGCACAACTTGTAGCCTCAACAGTGAGAAAAGTAGACCACATCACCTTTGAACTCTGAAAGCCAGAAATGTCAGAGTGTAATAGACCAGTATCACCAGCCAGTTTCGTTACGCACCGCTGGCTCAATGCATCGAGGAAACTTTAGTCTTTTTGCACGTGGGACAACCTCGCCGAAGCACTGCACATTTAGAGCATGACACAGCACGAGTCGTCTCGAGAACTGCCACCTGCCTCCCTTGAACTAAAACATGTGCTGAACACTTGGTGAAATTGGTCTATTCAAATCCAGCTACCATTATTTGCACACCATAAGAAAAACCATACCAATGAAGCAACAAATGGAGGTGTACCTCTTCCCTACGCAGCAGTTCGTGCATTTCTCTCATGGAGACATCTGCTTGGCCTTGAGCCGACCTACCATGGATATAATATCCAAACTTTGGCTGTACAAATATGAACACACTGATCTGTGGGGGAAGGACAAAGTATATAAGCAATGTGGCGGACCAAGATTTCCCCCCTTCAACTTACATTGCTGACAGAGCACAAGTCAACGAAGTGCTGCAGTTTGTCTTCGTAGAAGCGCTCATAAATGAACTTGTGAAAAAAGACCTGAAAAGAATGAGCAAATCTGTTTCAAAATCAATACCGACTTGCTCAAATGTGATGCCACATACCTAATAGTTTCATGCAGACTGCACGCAAAAGACAGATATTTCTTCCAGAAAAAATAAGAATCAATTAATAAAAGTGTCTCCAGTGCATTGCTTAGCCAGGCAAATGAAATGCACAACACAATGAAAATAATATCTAAGCTGCATAATACCCTGATTCAACCTCTGACTGCCCTAAACAGTAAATTAATAAAAAAAAATTTAAAAATTATGGCAGCACTTTTATTGTACCTGACAAAATCGCCACATGTAGAATATGTTTTAGGTCAATAATATTTCAGTGTTATTGTTTATGTACCGAGACTCATACCATGACTTCCGACAAGAACAGCATTGGTTGTTGCTTTTGTCACAAGATCGCTTACGCCAACCAATGAGGTGACACCAATGAGGGAGCTCTGCTGTGACAGTGACACTATTGCATTGGCCACTGAAGTATGAGATCTACCAAGCCAGTTAAATCTTCTAAATTTGGTGGATTTAGCAGGTCACATGACCACTGTGGCCACGTCACATGATGACGTATGGCACTTAGCAAAAAAAAAAAAAAGCAATTGGGAGAAACCAGAGATAACCAAAATTTAACAGTAAAAAAAATAAATTTCAAAAGAAATAGAAGTACAAGAAAGAAGTACACCGAGTATAGGCTGACAATGCTGTCGCTAGTGCCACAGCTGAATGCACCTGAGAGCATATACCCAGAACCCAGTGCATACAGTTATTTGTTATGGGATGTGGATACAACAGATGTATCTGCACCCAATCCACAATCTGCATTTTTTTCTTCTTAGATTTTATGCACCTTGTGCATGTGCTCTCGCACAAACAAAACCTTCTGAAGACCACACATCTTGTGCCTTTTATTTTCATAAATTTATATGAAAACACAGACGCTCAACTGACGGATAGTATGGGTCACTGAAAATTCAGCTAAAGAGATTAATGGCACCCTCTGCACAATGCACAGTGCATGCAGTGTCCAGAGCAGTCTCTCACGCTGGGATTTTAATCTGCAGAATTTTGCAGTCTTCCAACTCACATTATAACTTAATGTACAGGGTGGCACAGGCAATCTTCTGCTTGTGGAAGATTCACTTGTGGCGCCATCTCCCAATAGGTGCAGCGAGCGGACAACAGATTGCAGCGTCTACTTGCTGTGCCTTTTGGGAGATGGTGCCACAAATTTATGCAGAGTGCAAGTTCGTCTGCTTCTTTTGCAAGGGTTGTGGTGATTTCAGGACACCAAGCTCTAATTGGCTCTGATTGAAAGATAGTGGTTAGACCTCTAGGCAGCTTGCTTTGAGGTCTACCCACTATTCTTCAATCAGGGCTCTGCATTCTGACATCACCACAACCACTGCAAAAGAAGCAGACGAACTTGCACTCCGCATGGCATCACTATACTCTGTCTGCGAACGCGTGCAACTTGAACTTCGCAAGTTTGTTGCTTTAATTTTTTAGAGAAAGAGAACTAAGCCTTGAACTTTCACATGGTAAAACTGACCTACTCTGTGCGCTTTCGGTGAAAGTTTGAACCTTCTATGTGCAGGCGCCAATTTTTCCGGGTCGTTTAAAAGCGGAAGATCTGCTTGTGCCTTGCTAGGCAATTGTGTTGCATACGTGAAACGTTCTAGCATCATAAATATCATTGTTTAGCAGCACGTCTAGCCTCTTCAGCCAGACGCCTACATTCCAAGAGCTCTTCATTAGCTAATTTAATGCATGGCATGTGTACACTTGAAATTATAAACCTGGTTATCTTCCAGAACCCTCTTAACACATTCCTTCTCGCCTCCTCGCCTACCTCTCTTCCTCACTCCACCCCTCGTCACATGACCTCCCCAGTAACCAATCAGTGTCGAGTACCTCACCCCTCCTCTCCCACCCATCAACCAATCAGTGTCGAGCCTCGCGGCCACGCTTTTATTCAGGCTTCACTTTTGGGCTGTATGAAATGCCAAACACCTAGTCAAAGAATGCTTCACGTTAAAAGTCATTAGCCTTTAGAGCAGACAAACAAACACTGACTTCTTAAAGAGGCCCTGCAATCATATTTAAGTGTCTACCTTTTTTGCGGTTTCCATGTCTCTTGGGGTTCAGGCAAGCCAGCGGGCACGGAGAAAGTAACTAGATATCAGTGCGTCACATTATAACCGGACGACGCGGAAACCTCCTCCACCAACGAGGGCGACCCGCAGTACCAAAAGCGAGCAAAATGTGACGTCTTTGGTCCTGGGCTTACTACTGGTCAGAGCCGCTAAAAGCTTCTTTTTAGTCTAAATGCAAAATATAAGCTGCGCAAACCGTTTCAATTATTTATAGAAGTAATTTTTCTTTTTTTTGCTCAGTGTTTTAGATCAGAAAAGAAACAAATGCAGTTTATGAAGTATGGAAACTAGATATGACTCGTCGACATACCCGCCACCAAGCGGTGGAAAAGGCGGCGCATACTAGAAAGGAGTAGTGGGATCAGGCGCCGACACGGAAAGGTCCCGGATGTACGCGGTGGCGCTGCGGTCGTATGGACAGGAGGATACGACCGGCTCCGAGCGTTCCGAAGGCCGAAGCTTTGTCTTGTGGTTTGGCCATTTCGCGGTATGGCAGCGCGAAGTGGCTCCCATTCTGAACTGATCTTTACCCCGTGTTTGCTCTCGTTTGTGGCCAAAGAAGTGTAACGCCGAATTAGTGTTTAATCGCGCAGCAAATGCAGTGAGAGCCGCTCTGGCCGCCCGCTGCATACAGCCTATTTAGAACATGCTTTAGTGGCTCCCTCTCGCGCCGTCGACACGAAGTGCGGGAGCCGTGAGCGCTCGATGAGCTCACTACCCCTCCTCTAGTTCGCGGTCACTCAACCAACCAAGGACGTCATGAGGGAGGTTATTTTTTGCTTGTTTTTGTAATTTTAATTTGCCTATAACTTTTAAAATAAAGCGAATTTAGAGAAAAGAAAAGTTTCACTAAGTTACTACATTCAGTGCGCTCAGGTTCGGTGCAAATTAAAAACCAGTAAAAAAGTCTTCGCACGGCCCCTTTAAGAACAGAAGAGACAGCGCCAAGCAATCTTTGCCTCAGCAATTCAGCAACCACCTGCTCTTAAAAGGTTTTACATCCCCACCCAATGTGGGAACCATGAAGATGGCATCCAGTGTGCACCCATGAGATAGCCATCTGAATACGATGCACCACCACAAACTTTTGTTAATCTTTACTGGCCTTCTGAGGTTTTGTTGCAGCTATCAGCAGATAAGCAGGGTTCTAGAGACCAAGTGAAACGGAATGTGGAGGAGAAAAAAAAGAAGTGATAAATTAATTTATAGCTGGCTTACTTGCAGTACTGCAATTGAGAGGTAGAGGGAAGCAGCTAAGGCAAACCGACAAGTGGCACTGAAAGGAATGTTCGCATTCTTGAGGTTGTGGACATAGTAACTCTCGGGAGTGGCGAGAGTCAAGTATTCCAATCCAAGCCCCTGCAAAACAGAGATTGTGAATTGTTAGTCACAATGTATGGATACATGCAGACAAACATAAATTTGCAAACACAAAAGCCAATTGTGAGAGCTGAGAAACAAAAAATTCAATTTCAGGAACTAGAAGGTTCCCTGTATCTCGGCACTGCAGTCACTGCCTGTTGAATATAGCCTAAACTAGCACTTTCAAAAAAGGGTGGCTGTAGCAACTGTGCTGTAGCAACTGCACAATGTTGAAAGTGCTTGTTGATATGTATAAACAAATCTGTATCAATTTGTGTACCTCCTATACAAGATGTGCACAGTAACTGTTCCTAGCCTAGTCCTTGCTTTTGTTAGGGTATATACCATTTAGGTAGAAAATGCAACAGAGCCTGAAACACTAAGTTAACTGAATGCCTCCATATTTGCTAAACAGGCATGGTGAGAACAATGGTTGGGGCAGTATGCTCAGTACCCACTACAATAAATTCAAACTATTAGGCCACATAAATATCAGTGAATTTAAAAATATGTAAAACATAATTTGAGAGTATGTTCTAAACACCATTGTAGTTCACTTCTTGAAAATGGCTCCAGGTGCAGTCAAACTTTTTAACGGTAAACACCCAGCTCCAGTCTTGGGCAGTAACTGGTTAGGTACTTTTTTTGGTAACTTGTAACTGCAACACATTACTGTTTAGTGTAAATGACTTATAACTGTAACAAAGTTACTATTTATTGAAAGTAACTATAAAGAGCAATGTCATTACAGTAAAACATATAAAATAGCGCAACAGAAAACAAGGACAAGAAGTAAACAGGACAGGCGCTAATGTCATTACAGTTACTTTTCAGATTTTGAAACAAAGCTATTTGAAACACGACCAATCGTCTCGCAACTTCTGAGAGCAAGCACCATAAGAAACAGCAGCAAAAACCGTCTAAAGCAAAAAAAAAAGTTTTGTTTAAAAATTATTTTGAGTTTTTCAAGCTTGGCCAAGCTAGTCCCGCCAGCTATGGCGATGGGAACGATTGTGATCCTACTTGTGCATGGTATATCACATACAGCGCGCGTAGATGGAACAAACCGTGGCATCTTTAAAGCGTTTCTCCTTTCTTTGCCTGATCGAGGGAGTGGATGCTTTTCACAGAGGACACTTTTTTGTGATTGTTGCCAAAGCATGCCCGTGGATTAGGGTACAACCGATTTTCCAAACCTCGTTTTTTTTGCTGCCGCTAAGCGTACGTTTCCCTCTAATTTGAATCAACCAACTCCCAGATGAGCCTCTGTGGTTCTCGAGTTCTGACCCCATTCCCTCACCCTACCCACCTTCCCTTTCCTTAATACAATCCGATTACAGTCCTCGCCTCTTCTCCCATATGTCACCCACTTGTTGCCTATTTCTTTGCTTCCCGAGTCCAGTGACTTGAGAAAGAGCATTCACTAGCTCGAAACCTTTTCTCTGTAGTTTTTTTTTTTTTTTTTTTTTTTTTTTTGTGTTTTCTTGAAATTGAAAGACCGCCATTAGCCGGGACCAAGGACACCTGGCATCATTTGATTTATATAGCGGTCTCTAGTTGCGTTGGTGGGATGAAGTGCAAATGTGTCCGATCTGGTTAAAAAACTGATGGAGAAAATATTGCCAAGCCAGATCAGAACAGCTGACTGAAATTCTTGATGCAGTGACCGTTTGTACCTTGATAAGTGCTCCCTTTATGCCGCTGCCATATGGTGTCCAGCGGATTTGAGGGAGCAGTATCGACGCAAAATTGACCTAAAAGTTTTCAAGAGGAGCGCCGTGTTTCACAAAAGATTGTGCACAGAAGTAGAAAAGGATTTGGCTCCCGTTCTGAACTGATCTTTACCCCGTGTTTGCTGTAGTTTGTGGCCAATGAAATGTTATGCCGAATTAGTCTTTAATCGCGCAGTAAATGCCATGCGAGCCGCCTTGGCCACCCGCTTCATACAACCTATCCAACACGTGCTTTAGTGGCGCCCTTTCGAGCCGTCGCCACGGAGTGCGGCAGCCGTGAGTGCTCGATGAGCTCACTATTCCTCCTCTAGTCCACGGCCACTCAAGCCAGGACCTACGACGTCATGAAGGAGGTTATTTTTTGCTCGTTTTTGTAATTCTAATTTGCCTATAACTTTTAAAATAAAGCGAAATTTGAGAAAAGAAAAGTTTCTTTAAGTTACTACGTTCAGTGCACTCAGGTTCGGTGCAAATTAAAAACCAGTCAAAAAGGTGTTGCAGGGCCCCTTTAAGAGAACATCTACAAAGCTGATTGCAAGGTATGACTTGCATTATTTTTTTTTTGGTCTCACACATGCAAGATTTTAATTGTTCCGTTTCATTTCTCCTCACTGATGAAATCCGAAGATATGATTGACCGACTGTAAACTTGCACCACGTTTGGATATTCCCGAGCATATTGGTCGCATGTGTACACGTCTAAACCTTAAAGGATACTTCAACAAAATTTGAAGTATACCTGTCGTGTTCACAAATGCTGAATATGATCCACAATATCCGTAAATGATAATCGCACGTTCGTATTTTGAGCCCGATGGCTGTATTTTTCGTTATGAACGGTCCACTTTGGCAAACGCTCGGAGAGCAGCCAGCTGAGGGCACGTCACATCCGCCGCAATCATGACGTAGTTTGTCTAAGGACCTTACGTCCGGATGCAGCGAATGCCCAGCGAGCTATCCCAGTCAATCCCGCTCTGTGGACGTAACCCGTAATATGCTTTCCGCGCGTCGCTCTGCCCCCTCTCCAAGGTCACCTGACATTCCCACGGCCTTGGAAAGGCCCCGATGGCTCGTAGAATCCGCTGAAAGCAGCCGAAGCACACCAGCAATCAGGCCACCGCAAGTAACCCCGAAGCTGTCTTTGTACAAATTTTGAGTGATGGGTTAATCTTTTGTAATCTTGTAGAGGGACAATAGCGACTTCTGTGACACACAAAAGGGATTCTCGGGGAGAGGGGAGTTCCTCCTTCAGCTCTACTCTCGTAGTGGCCGGAGGCGAGGCAGTTACCGTCACTACCTGTCAAGGTTCCTAGACGGGCATTACAAACGAGGCGTTAGTGACATCCACCAGGTGCTCTTTGCTAATTGTTTAGTTTGTTTTAAAATTCCTTTTTGTGTCTTTTTCAACAAGAAATTGGTATGTCTGATGTGATAATGTTCCATTCAACACGAATAGACCAAGAAATAAGCGCCGAAATTTCGTTGTAGTGTCCCTTTAAGCTGGCCGCGCTTATTTTCAAGTTTTTCTTGGATCCTGGATCATCACCCAGCATCAGCTGGCTCATCATTGTGAATAATTAAAGCCCTCCGTAATTTTGTCGAAGAACAGAAATGTTTTATTGATGTCAAGTCACGCAGTATTTACCCAAATACTGCTCTTAAATATGACCTGATTCAGGGTTCTATTTGAGGTAAAAATTTAAATAGAAAGGATCAAACATGCGAATATTGAGTATTGGGGAAACCTCAGTTTTTAGGAAACAATATTCATTACTGTGAAGAACAGATTGTTTTAAAAAAAAATCTACACCACTTTAAAGGCCTATAACAAAGGTACCTTTTGAATGTTCTTAATTATTTTTTTTTAAATAATGAAAGCGTAATGGCATTACATTTTCGCAGTACCTGACTGTAACAAGTTACCCTTTCAATTTTCTAACTACGTATATACTTGTAACAGATTTACTTTTTCCCCCTGAATATGCATAACTATAACACAATTAGGGGGGTACATAAATCGTTCCAATAGGAACTAGTGCACAGTGAACAACATATATACTTGTAATGTATACTATGTAGTATGTAGTATACATACATACTATATACTTGTAACAGATTTACTTTTTCCCCCTGAATATGCATAACTGTAACAGAATTACTTTTTAACACCAACATGCCCAAGACTGGTCAGCTCAAATCAATAGAGCCCTGCGCGGATAACAGTTTGAGTATCCACATCTGATCCGCATCCGCAGACTTACATTATTGTATCCGTATCCAATCCGCATCCGCATACTTCGTATCCGTATCCGAACCGCATCCCCAAAATGTGGAACCATGTCAATGTTCTTGCAACCACCAGAGGTTATGATTACATTGAGACTAGTAAAATCAGCAGAAATCACACCGACCGTGCTCTTCCCCGCTGCACACGGAATCGGAAACTTTCACCTACTCTCCCCTGAAACCTAAACGCCTAAAAAAAAGGGTCATAAAAAAATAAAAAAAACGTTCGGAACGGGAGGAGGAGAAGCAGTGGTAGGAAGACAAAATCCTTTCTGTGATGTTACCGAGCATATGCAGACGCCTCGAGTCTCGCGGTGTTTCGTGTCAGCCAGCGGGCAGGTGCACCAGAGTCCAAGGCCTGATCGGATCGACTAACATGGTGTTCGAAAAAGATTGCGGCCTGCAGGCGCCCAAATATATATATATATATTGAAAGAAAACTTTTTTTTTTTTTCTTTTGCTTGGGGCGGCTACGGAGGTTGCGTGTGACAGCCGCTGGCATTGCTGGCACCCTGGCGTCGTAACCGGACGAATATGAACTACCAGACTTTCTTGGCTAGAACTCTAAGCATACAAAAAAGAAACAGGCAATTTAAGGGCTGCCTATGTGTGTGCGCCGCTGATTCCGAAACTTTGCAAACCGTGGCGCCACAGGGTCGCGCTCGCTGTCGAAGCACTTCTTTTGTTTTTGGTATCATGACAACACCACTCTCTGCGGAGGGGGGGAGGTTTCTTCTACTTTTTTGTGACTTGTTCGTTTGAGCTTTTCTTTGCCCGGAGAAAGTTTTCCGCTCTTTTCCTGCCAAAGTACTAGCTTTCTCGGGACGATTGATGCCCAGCATTTTTTACTTTTACTTTTTCTATAAATAGCATTTTTGACGAGATGAAATGCACTAACTGAAGCGATCTTCAGTAAGAATCAGATCTTTCTTAGGATCCCCATCGTTTCTTCGAAACGCGTTTTATGGAAATATGTTTCGTGGACAACTTTTCACGGAGATACATTTCATGGACACACGGTTCGTCAACGCTGTACGTCTTGTGGGCTCACGCCCCTGCGACGTTTTGTCGACAACGTATTTGTTCACTAGGCAGCTAAAAGCGAGCGTGCGATTCACTAAGGCGTGCTTAACCCAAACCATGTCCCCCTCCCCCCTGTTATCCAGCCGAGACGCAAAAAGTTTGTTACAAAAATAGCAGGGTTGTGTGCGACGAAACGTCTCAGGTTTTTCGATGAAACAAACACGAGAAGCCTTTCGATCAAACGTCGCATGTCGACAGTACGATCTGTAGATGGAACGTCAGTCAACGGACCGAATGCCACCGGACAAAAATTTAGATTCGGATCCGCGGCTATCCGCATCTGCAGCCCCTGAAACCGCATCCGATCTGCAATCCGCCAAAATCCGCCTAATTTCTATCCGCATCCACCAGTTTACTGCGGATATCCGCAGATATCCGCGGATAATCCGCGGATATGCAGGGCTCTACAAATCAAAACAATAAACAATTTAATCGTGAAACTGCGCTGGCTTATTAAATAACAGTACTAGGAAAGATACTCAGAATTGAAAAGTAAAGTTGTCACCTTGTCAATGTATGATATGTAAATGTACAAAAAAGGCCCATAGACTTTCTCCAGGCCCCAGAGAAACTTTGCAGCTGGTGCAGTTTGCACACATTCGTTCCATGTGGTGCTGGGCCATCCCCAGAAAAGTCGCATGAGAATTTAGAACCGACAGTGTGTTTGCCGAGGAAAATTGCTTTTTTTCTTTCATACTTTTTTTAATCAGCATTGTGGCCGAAAGCAGGGGAAACAAGCATGCTGTCACTCAGTCCTTCACGGTTTCATATCCAAATGTAAAACAAGACCCAAACAGGATGTGAGAATGTGCCGACCATTGGGCCATGGCTCACCTTGAGCAGCAAAAGCAGGGCCAGCAGCTGCATGGGGAGCGACACCCTCCTATGGCACTGGAGTTCGCTCCACTCGTTGGCCACAAAGTAAGATCGCCAGATGCTGACTGCGGTGGTACTCTCTCCGGCCGCGCTTCCGGCATCGCTTCCAGATGGAGGGTGCGAGGAGTCGTCGGCGCCGGGAAGTCGGGAAGAGCGGCCGGGACGAGGGTGCCGCGGCCAGGACGGCGTCGCGTGCGGGCGCTCCCAGTCCAAGAAGAAAACGTCCACGCTGCTTTGCACAAACACAATGTGCAACAGGTACAGGGCCTGAAAGGAGGGTGCGATCACGTTGCAGCAAAGCCAGCTCTCCACATTTCGTCGCAAACCCGAACGACTGCCCTGAGTTTAAGTCGCCGAAAGTCCGAATGAGGGAACTTTCCCGACATTGCTGTGTAACGGGCAATAAAACAAGTAGATCATGCTGTAATCTTTGTTTTACCCAGTCACATGGGACCTAAGAGGGAAATGTGTTGCTTCGTGCAAAATGTCGCAGCCGCACCGGGGCCTGCCATGTGCCGCGTGATCGTCACGATGCGAGAAGTTGTTCCAGGGCAAGTGTGAGTGTGGCAGTACCATACAACCTGGATGTCTGTGATATACTGCTTTGAATAAGGGAAGCTTTAGGTTAGAGCACCAAAGAATGATAAATCTATCACAAGTATGGGAGACCCACCAAACAGTGCTGATTTCCTCTAATTACTGGACACTTTATGAAGTACAGGGCTTTAAGTTACAAAGCGGCACTTTCGATGATGTGATCATTTCGAGGTATTATGGAGCACTTTCTGGAGAAGCAAAAAGAACTTTTGGGGCATAAACACACATTGATTCTCATTCATTCCAATGCAAGTACCTACTACAATAAGATTTATGTATGTTTGTCTGTCCAACTAAAAGACAGTGCTTCTTTGCCTCCTCATGTTTGTGCAACCGCTTGTTAGCATCCGTAGCAAAGCATAACTGAATAGAAAGCTAATTTATGTATGTGCATCAGTGTAATATTTTATGTAAGGTCTTATGATGATGCACAATTGTATGTGGACAATAAATATGTTCAGAAGGCTATTCATCAGATTTTTCCCATATCCAAGTTACCAAAGTAATAAAGTAATCTTAAATTTGTAAAAAAAAAAAAGCTCAAGGTACAACTAAGCATTTCTTATGAGTTGTGAATGCGAAAGCATGCAAGCCGCTCATCTGCTCCCTTTGTCGTCTGCTGCGCACTAGCGCGCGCGTGCTTCGGGATCTCGGAGGCCATGGAGCAGCGGCCAATGGGAGCCCCGTCGGCGCGCGCCAGCCAATGGAACCGAAGGCGAATCGCTCCTATTGGGATCGCGGCGGAAACTAGGAGCCGTCTTCGCGCTTCAAAGTGATGACGTCAGCTCGCTCCATGAGACCCAGTTAATGCTTTCGCATTAAAAAAAAAAAAAAACATTCTAAACACTTTTTTTTTTTTTCGTTTGAGTACTTAAAGTGCTTTTAAACAGCACTTTGCTCTGGAGGAGTGTTTTCGCACTAAGCAAAAAGCTGCGCAACGACAAAGCGACATATGCAAAATCAGGAGGTGCACTGCACGAGCGTAGCTTCTCCACTGTGCATCAGTGCGCGGTGGAATAACATATCAAAATAATGTATCACTTAACGGAGGTAGTAATCCGCTCGAACAGACTACGAACAATGTGAAATATTGCGAAACTTCTGAGCATTGTACCATGTTCCATACGAAAATATAATAGAGTGATACATTATTCTAAGCGATAACAGTTTTGACAATTTGCTTACCACAATGGTCCAGGGAGTGCAGGGACGTCTAAGCTATTAGTCTCAATATCGATAAACTGAAATGAACTTTTTGTGCAATGTCCTCACATTCTAATCAAATGTAGCACCGTAAAATACCGACCATTTGCCCATTCTACAATAAGTGACCACCCCTCAATTTTGCAACAATCGGAAAATACACGAAGGACACATCTTTACATACTGTTGACCTAAGAAGCACCCATCATGATTTTATATGATTATCTCCAAATTTTGAGTGGACACTTTCTAGGGATTTTATGGTAAGATGTAGCAGGGTCAGTACTGCTCTTTTTGTTGCATCTGGATCGGAGTGAGATGTTTTACTGTGACATAAACAAGTAAAAACAAATGGAGGGGTGTCTTACTTTCATGAAAAATGCAAAGATGATGAATGTCTTGATTTCTTGCTCCTGATGTGGACTTGGCAGCAGGAGATGGACAACATCTTGCATCTGTCAAAAACAACAGGATGACAAACATATGCACTGTTACTTCAAAGTAATCTATTCTCCAAAGTGTTATTGTTTGCATGTGCGATTTGGAAAGATTATTTGTAGATGGGTTCCTTAAATCAAATGTTTTCAAAAATCTGCGACAAAAACAAATTACTAAAGAATATGTTAGCATCGACAAAAATGTGTACGTCAATGATGATTCCAAGGGCAAAGTAATAATAAAAAAAACAAGAAAACAAAAAGAAAAAATCTGAAAACCAAGATGGAAGTAAACAGTAACAAAAAAAAGTACCCGAACAGATATTTGTAGAATATACTGTAGATGCACCTTGGATGATAAAGCTTAGTGCTTGGCACTATTTTGTATGAATAAAACATGAAAAATCATACATCCTGCATTCAGGTCAACATACACACAAATAAAGATAACAATAAACAACCATTCTTTGCTCACTTAGGTATATGACTTGAGGTGCAAAGACATGCAGACACAAAGCATTACAACTAAGGAAGAACTGCATAAAGGATGACATGCATGAACATATAGGCCTTTTACGATATGGACTTGCCTTGTACATTACTAGCCAGTTGAGTGATGCACACAGCACAACCATCAGGAAGACATTGGACAAGCTGGCACAAGTGAAGATGATGAGTTTGAGCAGTGCCTGTAGAGTGGTATATCGTAGTCATTATTATTTTCTCTTTTTTTTCCTCTCACTTGTAACGTTTATACATACCACAATGTTAACGGACGTTTTGCCGGACCTGCGAGCCCAGCTCCCCATCTGAATGCACGCCCACAAAATGGCGAGTGAGCTCAACACACCTATGGCAATCTAAAAGAAGGGAATAGTGAACAACATGGCATGGGCCGCTTTGCAATCCCATAAATGCGCTTGTCTCAGATGTACAGGCAGAGAGGGCCACCCGATATTTGTAACTAGCTATGCAGAAATAAAATTGTTAAAATTCAAACAAAACTGGGAACAGCTGCGAGCAACACCAGAAATACTTTTTCCAATTTAATACTTTGCACCAAAAACAATACCTTGAAGCTGACCCCCAAAATAAAATTAAGGCAGTTAAGAAAAAAGATTGCCCTCCTGAATGATGGCCTATGACAGGCCAAAGTTGGGTAAAGTACATCTAAAAAGTACTTGAAGCAAAGTACAAAGTAAACGAGGTTATGCACTTCAAGTAAAGTAGTAAGCACACAGGGCACAATGTACTTGCAGTAAAGTACTAAAAATACAATGTACTTCCAAAGTAAAATATACCCTAAGTACTTTTTAACACAATATTTCATGGTGCCGTTTCATTTTTTTTTTTTTGTCATTTACTTGTAAGCATTGCCTCAGGGGTAATTACGGTACATCAATTATTTATTGAAATGGTGGCAAAAAATGGACGCATCTCCATGTGGTAAATGATGTTGATTGGGGCGAAGCCCTGGTGGTGCTGTTGATACTGACTTTATTGTTCATAGGTAGTGCTGATGGTGCTAATTTTTTTTATTGCTCATAGGTAGTGCTGAGTTCCGGGTTGCGTTTCGACTTCATTATTACTGCTTTATGGTCGGTTAAATGCAGAGCCAGTGGTTCTTCTAGCGGATCAGCTTGGATCGGCTAGAAGCCGTGGGAACGCATCTCCACCGCTTAAAGGGATACTGAACCAAAGAATTTAAAGTCCATAATAAGTGGCACACGTTCTATCCACGAGCCAGCAGCCGCCGGTGTGCGCGAGCACACGCAACGAAAATGATGTCAAAGGCCTCCATTCGCGCTTAAGAGAACAGTGAAATGCATGGGCCTCAGGCCAAAGGAAAATAAAGACAGGCTTTTCATCTCTACAAGTAAAAGCTACGTGCTTGTTAGACCAATTAATCGCTTACCTTTTATACCAGACACCACTGAGTAGATGAAAAACTTGTCTTTACTCTCCTTTGGCCCGAAGCCCACACATTTCACTTTCATCTTAACCGCAAATGGAGGTCTCTGACGTCATTTTTGTTGCATGTGCTCGCGCACACCGGCGGCTGCTGGCTTGTGGAAAGAATGAGCGCCACTTATTATGGACACTAAATTCCTTGGTTCAGTATCCCTTTAAGTCAACGGTCCATGTCAGAAAGGGAATGTGTGGTATGGATCGTGGTGATATATGCAGTTGAGCATTTGACCGTAGTGCCCTCTCGTCTATAAACGTTAAGCCAATGCATGCAAAGTTTAACACGATTATATAAGCATTTGACCGCAGCGCCTTCTCCTGTATAGATGTTGAGCGGCTACATGCAACGTTGGAGGCAGGCACACACATTGCAACCAGCACCCCCTCCCCTTCTCCCCTTTCCGTTCCAACCGCTAACCGATTTGCCGAACTCTGATGCTCATACGGCTCATACCTTGTAAATTATTGTAAATAAGCTGTTTGGAAAAAAAAAAAAAGAGTGTAGCGTAGGGGTTAAGACGTCTGCCTCGTAAGCAAGCGGTACTGAGTTCGAACCCCTTTGCGGGCGTAAGTTTTTTTTTAAAAGTGGGCCGATCCCGAAGGCAGTGCAATCGATGTGAGCGCGGATGCCGGACAAGGCTAGACCCTAAGGAGCTTTGCCCCTAATACTTATTTGTATCCAGGGTGGTAGGAAGCTTCTGGAGGCGACATGATGCCACCAGAGGTGAAGCCGGGGAAGACTTCCGGTTTGGAGGTACACGCCCCCAACGATGACCAAAACGAAAAGACGCTATGGGTGGAAAGGACAGCGGATTTAGCACCAACAGCTGCTTTGGTCACCCTTGAAGGCATTCCCATTGACAGCGACCTCTACTTCCGGCTTTACTTGAGATTTTCTCGTTTGGCTGGCTTGAGCCAGTATGTCACCTCCTCTTCTTCCTACCTCCATGTTTGTCTTGGTTTTATAGCCATTACTTCACTTGAAGAAATGACCAGATGACGTCCCGAAAGACGGTAGCGCGTTTTCACACCACAATATGCCTTTTCTTCTTTTGTTCTTTTGTTATAAATTGGAGAGCTCTTTACTTGCCCCCCAAGCATTTCTTCAGAGTTGATGAAGCATCATTTTGTGATACAAATTAAACAACGCCAAATTTGGGGAACATACTTTGAAGTCAAGAGTTGTACTTTTCTCGGAAAGTACCAGAAAAAATGCTTGAAGTAAAAGTTATTATTGAGAGAATGTACTTCACATAAAGTACATGTCTTCTAAACCTACTTGAAGTAGTACTTTAAGTACAAAGTACTTAAAGTGTTTCCCAACACTGTGATGCACTACTGACATTACCAATGAGCTTCAATGATGGCTCATTGACATCCCCGACATATTGATATTCCCCACAAATTAACCGATCTACAGGTGTTTTGATGAAATCTGCATAAAGAGGCTCAGCTGGTTTATTTATTTCTTGTACAAAAGGGACCAATTATTGCTGATGAAAATTTAAGCTTCCTGAACATCAGGTGACAGGAGAAAAAAAAAAAAAAAGAGGTTTATGTAGCTCGTACTTTGGACAAACAAGAGTAGCGTGTCCCAGACACCTAGATCACCCTTACCGGCATGTCATGTGCAGTCTGGTTTCGATCAGAGGAGTAAGTGACTGAAAACGAAACCTGCGAGAAGAAAACAGTGTAAGGGATCTCACCAGTTCTCATATCGGTTAATGAAAGGAACCGAAGAAATTATGCAGATGCATCGGAAGGTACAGCCTCTGGCTCAGCGGCGCCGGAACAGGGGGGGGGGGGCAGGGGGGGGATGGCCCCCGCACCCCGGACAGTTAATAAATTTAATGGAAACAATACGGGGGGAGGGGCGCAAAATGGCCATCACCCCCAACCACAACCGCCATTGCCCCCCCCCCCCCCTCTTTGGAATAGTTCCGACGCTTCTGCTCTGGCTAGAAAAATCTCTAGAAATAAAGATTCAAACATGGAAGCTCCAATAGCACCTCAGAATGGCAGTGCCCTGGGAAGATTACTTTTTCGAGTTCTTGCCATAATTATGGCGCTTTTTTTTCTTTAAATTTATACTAGTACACAGGGTATGGTGCTCGGAAGTTCCGCAATATTTCTCATTGTTCGTAGTCTGTTCGGGAAGGTTACTAGCTTCGTTGAGCGAGCTTCTCGCTGCGCACTGGTGCACTGCGGAGAAGCTACACCGTTGCAGTACACCTTGTGATTCTGCATATGTCACTTCCAGTGATGCGATTGAACAGAGTTATTTTGTAGCACCTTTTGGAGCACCTAAAGGTCAATTATGAAGCAGCAAAAAGTATGCTTGGAGCACAAGCACACTCTTCATTTTTATTCATACCACAGCGAATATTATATGTTAAGATTCATGTGTTGGCCTATCCAACTAAAAAAACGTGCATGCTTTGCCATCACACTTCTGTGCAATGGCAGGTTTGATTTCCTTAAACACAGCACTAGCTGCTCAGTTGCAAATAGGAGCACCAGGCATGGCAACAAGATGCTGATCGACGAAGGACAGTATGGACTGTTGTGAATGGTCATTTTAGGTACAAAATAAAATGTAAACCCTTTTAAGTTTTAAAAGTTGTAATAAAACAGAAATTCTTAATTTAGATTTTAAAAAATTTTAGCCCTTTGGCTCAGTTTGGTGCAAGTGGTGCAGCGATCATCACTGGTTTCGCTACAGCACAGCCTCTTGCTAAGAAAGACAACACTCCTCCAGAGCAGAATTTTTAAAAGCACATCAAGTACTTAAAAGAAGATTTTTAAATAAGAATAAAAACAACTCCGTCTTTTTTCTTACAAATTTAGCGATATTTTTGTAACCTGGGTATAGGGAGAGTTGATGAATAATCTTCTAAATATATTTATTGTTCACATACTTATTTTGCATCACCATCATCATAGAGACTGAAAAATTGAAGCTCTAAGAGCACCTCAGAATGGCAGTTCTCTGAGGAGATTACTTATTCATGCTTTTCCCACAAGCTTTTGCTAGCCTTGAGCTTCATTTTTCTTCTATAAATTTATATTTGTATTTACTGAAATATCAGATTGGCCAAATTATGCAGCTAAAAGTCTCAATAAGAGAGTACTGGGCAGATGCCCAGTACTCTCTTGAACATCAACAAGATGTTACAAAGAAGACATAAGCGATGCCTAAGTTCAGATTATCAAGATCCTTTCGAGTACAGGTTTAGCCATACAGATGTAACCATTGAATTTTCTCTTCTCCACTCGCTTGAGCTAAGCAAAGAAGACACAATACCTGAATCTGAGGAAGCAGTTGGTCATTGCAGATGGTTTTGTCTACATGCTTCAATAAAAGCAACAATGTATATATAGAGTACATTGTGCATAAAGATCAAGATTCAAATTAGGTGCAAAAATATACAACAAATTTCAGAGGATGGAAATGTAAAATGCAGCATTCAGTCTTTCCTCCTATGATAGCAAGTTTTGTTACTTCTGTCTCTAGGCTGTTGCATTTCCATGGGTTTGTTTCACACACACTCCAGCCAATCTCTTAGCATATTGCTGGACATTCCTAGTGAGTAATTGCAGACTGACCTCAAAGCTACATTTAAAAATCCAGCTCAGAAATGAGGATGTTTTCTGATGCTGTCCACTTACAGGAACTTGCAGGTTTTGTTCGTAGGCATCTCTTGCGACTTCACCATAAGTGACGGTCAACAGCGGTGGGTAGATGGTGCCAGGCTTCACTTTTTTATGCATTGTGATGCTGTTAGATAATGAAGCAATGGATTCATTAGGGACAAAGAAGATCTCAGTAACTGTCAATATTGTGTTACAGATAGGAGACATGCGTACTGAATATTGATGTCTTTAGCGTAACGTAAAAATCTGACGGGCGACTTTTGCGGGGCTGCAGTGTCTGTGCCGTTTCCAGACATGGGGTCAAGCAGAAAGAATCGTCTTACTAGCTGCCATGTAGACACGCCCTCATCTGAAAAATAGTGTCGAGAGTTAAAGTTTCGGGGGCTCTTTTGTCACGGATTCCCTCTGCCAAATGTGCTGAATACTTGCCACTGAGTTTCTTCAAGTTTTTCTCCATGTTTTCTATCTTAGCTGGCACTGGATATATTTTATCTTCATTAGCTTGTTTGCTTTCCAGAACTGTACATAAAACGAAAAATTAATGAAGAAAAAAGCACAAACAGGATTAATAGGCAGCTCCTAAAATATTTGAATCTGTCTCCAGAAGCATGAGAAATATCCTTACAGAGTTCATAAAATATAATTTGTGAAGAGTCCCACAAATCTCTCACTGACTTTTGGCACTGAAAGTAATGGAAGATTATATGAAACAAGAGTTAGCAACATTGCAGTGTTGTATCCATTTGACTTGCACATTCTTTTCTCCTACCAGTAGAGAGTTTTAGCAGAGTGTTTTTTCGCCCCGATAACAACACCCGAAAACGATACGATGCATGCCCAAGTTTGGCGGAGGGCAAAGGAGGTATCGTTATGGGGGCGAAAAAACAATCTGCTAAAACTCTCTAGTATGAGCAGATAAACATAGCCAGCAAGATGCACATTGAGAAGTAGTTTCATAAAAGAAATCTTATACCCACCTTGTCAAAAAAAGTTGTCCCAAATCGAAGTACATCAGCATTTGCCAGAGAAGTACCACATAACTGCAAATGTAAATAAATTCAAAAATTATTTGAAAAATAAGGGAGGCACTCACTTGATCGAATGACGTTTTAGCGAACGCCCACGTTTCATCGAACTACACTTTAGCGAATAGTCGGACGCCGCGAAGCGGCATTTTCGGGTGGGCCAAGTGAGTTCATATTTTTGTACTGAGTTGCCGCAGACTGTCGCCACAAAGCGGCGTAAAGCGCAGCGCGACGGATGGGTTAACGCGCGCCCCCGTTATTCGCTAAAACGACCATTCGCACAAATGTCGCCGTTCGCTAAAATGTCATTCGCTCTTGTGATATGGACCCGAAAAATAATACAAGTTTGCACAAATTAGTGCTCACTGAGGATATGAAAATATAACACGCACCATCAGCTCCTGAATTTCCAAGCGTTGAATGCCCATAAATTTTCCTTTGAGGCTATATTTGGCAGCAACAAAGTGTAGATAAGAGGTCTGGGAATGACAAGAAGGAAACGGGAAGCAGTGTTCATTGCAGATCCAATAGCTGGGTTAAGGCAGTGACCACACCGCAAGTCCTCACCTCTTTCCACCGCTTTATAGTGAACTGGTTCGGGACATCTGTTCTAGACATCACTGCAGCTGCGTCATCTTCCAGGTAAAAAAGCCATGGTACACTGCCTTGCCTGACAGTGGAACAAGAAAACGGTGAGGTAGAGCTTCCAAAAAGGTACCAGCACCGTGACGACACTGCAGTACTAAAGAAGCTTTTCCTCTCACTCTCGCAACATAAAATTGTATCCCCCAAAAACAAAACTGATGCAAATATGTAGTGATGTAGCGATAGACAAAAAAAAAAATTACATGCATCAATAAACTCAAATTACAGTGAGTTAACTACAGGCAATCTGGTGCTATCCTTTCATTATCTGCTTTAATAACAATGTAAATTAAGAATTTACACCATTTCACCATTCAATGTACTCTACATATATTAGTATAACTCTCGAATTAAGATGCGCCCTAGTAAAATGTTGTGCAATTGATGTCAAATGGACCTTTTGTAGAAACATCGGTTCGAGAGTAAATTTTTCCAGTACGCTCTCTCTCTCTTCTTTCTCGCTGATCAGAGAGGGAAGATGGTTTCGTCATGTCGACTTTGGGGCGGAAGATTACGCACGATGGGGACAAAGGCGAGTTTGGGGGAGCCGTATCTAGGTCACAACGCCTCAATGGGTAAACGGGATGTAGCTAGCGTTTTGGGTGTGGAACGGGTGGGAGAAGCCTTGCGCGCGCGTTGTTTTCTAGCCACTTAGCCTCGAACCCAGTCGCGTGTCTAGGTGGCAGCACATATTCGCCAAGAAGTCCATTACCGCAAAACATGCTACGTAGGCTTTTTTTCGTTTTTTTTGCCAAATGTTTGAGTTTAGTGGACGTACCCTTGTCTTGGTCGTCCTGCGACTCCCTCGGACAACTTGAGGTACCGGTCACAGACAGAGGTACCAGACCCACGACTGTAGAAGGTCAGAACGCAGAGGTTGGCAACAATCTGGCACGCAGTTTCATTGGAGTACACCTGAAAATTGCACCACCTCGTATTAGAAAGACAAACATTCAGCTTTCTGTGGTATCACAAGGAGATAGTAAACTTGCAACAAACATCAACCAAACAAAATAAGTGCATCGATTCGGACTGAATTAAAAGCTCCATCTTTCCTTAGCTCACTATCCACAGTTATCAAATTTCTTCAATGGTGTAGTGCCATTGCAGTGTTTTTAATGCGAAAGCATTAACTGTCTCGTGGAGCGAGCCGACGTCAGCAGCTTTGAAACCACGCCAAACGGTTCTTAAATCCTTCTCCAAGTCAAGCCAGCTCCCACTCACCGGTTAGCCACGGTACCTTTTACAACGCTTCGATCCCATTGGCTAGCGCGCGTGGACCAGGATCCCATTCGCCGGACACGCAGTGCCATGGGGCAACCAGTCGTTAAAACTGACGCCGCGCATCAGTTTCAACGACCGGCCACCTCATGGCGCTGCGTGTCTGTCAGCGCGTCAGCGTGTCAACACGCGCATTCCCCTTCTTGTTCCCCTTCTCCAGGGAATATTTTCGTCATTCTTGTCCAGCTTGCTTGCACCTTTGCATTTAATTGCATTATAATAATCTTTTTGCTAACCAAGTGTCTAAAGAACAGAAAAATGTTTGATATGCCGAATGTCCATCTTTTTGATACGTATTGCGTGCGATATTGATTATTGAGCAGGAAATCCAAGCAAGTGTTAATATGGTTTGCTTACTTTGCAGTTGTACAAGGATGCTTGCAAGATATCCTTAAATAGCATAGAAAGTATGGTGCCACCCTGTGAAGGAAAGAAATGCATATAGTATATACGTATAGACCTTTTCATCCTCCTACGCATGGGCGCTGCCATCTTGGAATCACGCGACGCGGCAGCCATTAGGTTGCTTCAACTTGCTGCTCCGCTCTCCCCTCCGTGCCTTGGCGGATGCGTTGTATTCATGTTTTTCGTCGCGTTTCACCGCGCTTGCTTGCCTTACTTCGGAAACTGTAGTCCGATACGTCTACTCGAGGACTCTCGAGGTTTGTTTACTAATAGTGGCGGAACATTCTCAGTAAGAAGCGCCTATATTTATATCGCGCATTTAGGATCGCAAGGCATGACGAGTCAGCACAAGGAGACCATTTGAATTCCCTGAAAGTATCGTTCTTTGTATTCATAATATATCGATCAAAGTTTCTTTTGATTATGTAAGGAAACTCGTGGAGGAGATAGATAACGAACGTTTAACTTGTATTTTATCTGAGGCTAAATGTAATGGTACGTCAACATCAAGCGATTTGTTAGTTCATAATATCACATGTATACATGTGTATGAGGTTTTGAATATCATTTTTTTTTTTTGCGACGTAGACATTCGGTTGGTCGGTTTACTTATGAAGTTTAAGAAATTGTATACCTTGCTCGCTCCCATTTAGACAGACGTTTAAATGATTTATTGATTACATTTAGATAACCAATGCCCTCCACTTAATTTACTTAACACAAAGGTTGGGACCTCCCACGTAAGAAACTGCCACATACACTTTACAGTAGCGAGTTTTAGAATAGCGTGCACAAAAAAATAACGTCGTTTCTATTTGCAAATTTAAAACGTAGTTCGTGTTCGGCGCTTGCGCATAATGACAACGCTTTTTTTTTTTTCTTTCCTAACGTTGTTTTATCTTTTGCCAATATCTAATACCCGCAATAACTGACGCCCCCCCCCCCCCTTTCCAAAAAAAAAAAAAAGAAGAGGCGTCTGCATAACAGCTATTTGAGTCCAGGATTGTCGATGGCAAATAGAGGTTTACTTTTTGTGGCTGGCTACGCCGAAATTTATAAAGCGAATTTGTTCTAAGAAATAAATATTTGTTCACTCAGGTTCGTGAAGTGGTGCCTAGCACTAGAATTCAGCCAAACTTTCCGAGGTATTTTTAATTTTACTTGGCCAATTTTACGGAAAACAAATGCAAGATTTAATTTGACGGGCCTGTCACTCATATCATATCCTGAGTAAGCAAATGTTCATATTAAAAGAAATGTTTTTCCTAGGGCAAATATCGCGAAATGCCGCTTATGAGTACTTTAGGAGGATTGATAATTGAAGAAATTTCCTACTCAGCCTGTCAAAACATGCTCGAGTACTAAATTAAAAGAGAGGCCGGGACTATATTATATGTTTATATCAATTATCTGCGTCATTACACAATATGTTTTTATTCTGCGAAGTTCACTAAAGGTTGGGTGCCCACGAAAACCAAACAGTGAGCTGTAAACTCACGAGTTCATCTGTTCTGGCCGATTCAGAACGTTGCTAATCAAGCTGTCGATATGCTTCCCCGCTTTACATTTACATGTTACTCTCTTCATTAGTTTGTTTTTCTGGACACTGGTGTCATTGGGTACGGCCATACACGATGGTATTCTTCCCTGTACATCAGTCAGGCGTTTCGCAACCGACCATAATCAGATACCTCAAAGGAGTTGGTAAAGAAAGCCCACAATTTAAGCTAAAATACACCTCGTAGTCATCAAAGTGGCTTAATACTACTGTTTCATTGGTTGCGTGCTACCAGGAAAATAATCGTATCACAAAGTTAAGCAAAAACAAAGTAAAACAGCAACATAGCCACGTTCACGTTGAAACCGAAACCAACCAAATTGAAGCAACATAATGGCGCCGAGTGCGTCAGCGCCCTCTGTCCGCCGGTGAGGCAACTACTAAAATGAAAAGGTCTATAGTCGTGTATGAAAATTTGGTAATATATGTAAATTACAATGAAGCAAAATAAACAAACCTCATATGTGATGTGCTGAGCCGACTCAAGGTTTGCATCCAGCATATCTTGTGGAAGACAGCTGCCATCAGTCAGGACATACTGAAAATGAAAGCATATTTAATAATCGAAAAAATGTGTAAGTGAAACTTGCGAGTGGATGCTCGCTAATTATTGTTTTGTGCTGAAATGTCAAGAAAGTACCACATAAAATCAGAGGAGGACTGTCAAACGCAAGGTATGGCACTTGCTCACACTGAACGTTTGCATAGTTCACAATACCCTGGCCAACTTTGAAGTTTGGGGAAAATTTACATCAGCATGCAAGTGGGCATATGGCTGGCATTTTATAGTTGGCTGAAATTACAAAATCACTGACTAAGGGCTATCCAACTCGTGACAATTATCATACATAATTTGAGTTTTGGGTCGTCAGAGCTTTTTTTTTTAAATCAAACTCAAAGAGCACTTTTAAACACACCTTACTTTGGAGTGCTCAAGCGAGCACTTGGAACGAAAAAGTTGACGATTCCACATTCATTTAAAATCGATCAAGGGTGCAACATATGCTTGTGAGAGTATACCACCATAAACGCAACAGTCCAGAAGAAGTTGCCTAGAACTTGTTGCAATATACACAGGAGTATTTGACAAGGAACTACAAGGGATGCAAGTGACGATACAAATGTTTCTACTCAAAACTTGAGCACCCAGTGACACAGTCACACGAGGCATGTGTTCTGTGTTATGTCTCGTGCTCATAACACATAACTCAGTTTATATGTCCATAACAGATGAATGACTAATCTAGGATACAATAAATAAAATACATGTATATCTAACAACTGTCAACAAGACTACCAAAAAATTCTGAAAGAACGCCCACCCAAAATGAAGAGATAAATGGTGAAAACATGGGGTGGGCGATCTTTGAGGATGCCACAGCAAAATTTCATAAAAATTAATGATAAACACAACGACCCTGGCTAAAAACAATGTCAAGCAGGGGAACTTATACCGCAGATCATGGACACCGCAAATTCGCATTTCACGATGAGATAAACATGCAGGAATTCGCTACGAACTCCTGAGTTATGGGAACGGATACCGTCGATTGCGGACGCAGCTGATTCGCATTTCATTGTGCAAGATACACGTCGGAACAACACACGTGTTACGAGAGCCGATACCGCACGAGCAGATCGCGGACAAAAACATGGGAACCCGCTATGAACTTGCTTGTCAGACGTGCCAGTACAGCAGATTGCGTGGTTCATGCAATTTCCGTTGGACATTGCGTGACATCCGACGGGAATCGGGGGGGTGGGCGATGTATTGGAACTTTTATGTTACAGATATTTAGCCAGAAAAACGGGATGGGCGATCTCTCTAAACTTTACGGAATATGCAACCCGTGCATTCCACATTATTTCGTCCATCCTCACAATTATGTGTCCCTTGCAGTTGAGGGCACACAACATGAGCCTAGCAAAACACTGGAACATGAGTGTAGGTCACACTAGCTATGTCCTGACAGAGGCAGAGCCCACATGCTTATCTATAAAAACGGCTGGTACAAACTGGCACGACAAGATCATCTCGACATACCTTTTCAGGTGGACAAGAACAAGTGCTGTTGTCAGCAACCTGAAACTCTGGTGGACAGACCACACATCTGCAAGACCAAACAATAAGAACTGCATTAAATCTTACAATGTCTCCCTCTCAAGCTCCATCCACTTACTTTCTCAGGTTTGGGTCGGGCCAGGTTTGTCCGTGGCACTTCTTACATGTCAGCCACTTGGAGCCAGTGTCGTCCAAAACCTCTTCTGAAAGTGTATGGAGAACTTGCAGAGAACCGGACTGTTGCACAAGCTCTGGCATCATTTATCAAACCTTCTCGATTGTACTGTTTTGGCTAAAAAACACCTTGGTACAGTTAGAACTCATGCGAGAAGACAAAAAAGTAAGGATCCAGCTTCAGGAGGCCACACATGGTTGATACACATCTGTGCAGAAAACGTTTGCCGATTGTTGGTTTAGGACTAGGCCATAAAACCCTGCACTCATTGAACTTTTCAAGAAGTCGCCGCAAAACAAAATATGTAAATAGTGAAAGAAACTTGTCTTCCGTTGCGTAGTAGATAGCACCTAGCTATAGGTTGGACCTTATGGCAGACACGTTTCCAAAGCTATAATATCGTAAAGCAGGGGTCGTAAACCTTTTCCAGCAGCAGAGCGAGCAGCCACACAGCAGACACGGAGGGTGCCGGACGGCAAGTCGCGAAAAGGAAGTTGGGTGGGGAAAAGGCAAAAAGAAAGTGAAGACGTTCTCTGTCCTAGTATGGGGATGCTCGACAATGCCAACTGAAAGTGCTTCTTGTTCCTGCCTAACCCCACGTGACGTCAAAACTGTTGCATGGTCCTTGTGTCTATGTTCTGTGTGAGGAAGCGGCAGGGGGGCAGGGTTCTTTTCTGGTGCCGTGCCGGGGACCGCATAAGACTGCCTCGTGGGCCGTATGCAGCCCGCGGGCTGTGGGTTGCCGATTCCTGCTGTGAAGTAAGGAGGAGGCACCCACTCAAAATTTGAAGATAATCCCGAAAAAGTGGGGGAAGGGCTCTTGTTAGGTTATCCGTTTTACATATATTTGTACTGCGCATATTTTTTCATGGTACAAAATTTGGGAGTGGGCGTTATGTGTAATGGGCGGATGCTCAGTCCATCTTTCATGACAGTGTACAAGGTTCAGTAGTTTTATTATTAATGTTTAATGAATTCATTACAAGTGTAAGGAATTCATTAAACATTAATAATAAAGCAACTGAACCTTGTTCACAGTTATACTGGGATTGTGAAAGCACCGTGCTTTCACAATCCCAATATAACTACACGGTGATTCAAGGAGACGCCAGGCTCTTTAAATCGACCGCAAAATTCGATTCTTAACCTATCGCGCTACGACTTTGTGCAGCGTTGCCCACAGATGGTGCATTTTTTTTGTAAAATTTGCAAAGAGCGAACTTACCTCAGAAAAAAGTATAGAAAGAAAAAGGCTTAGCTCCTATGGAAACGCAGCAACGCCATCGGTCTTCAAACGACACGGCGCCGTTTCGCACGAGAAAACAAGAGATGGCGCAACAAACGCCGCAAACGAACGAGCAGACGGCGCCGAGCGCCGGCGTCTTTAGCAGACAATCTTTTCGACTCAAAAGCAGTGCACGTTCTGCGGGCAGCGACAGTCGCAGAGACAAAAACAGGCGCGGTAACAACAAGAAACTGCAGTTCTTTGTCTGCTAAAGACGCCGGCTCTCGGCGCCGTATGCATGTTCGTTGGCGGCAGTTGGCGTCGCGACCGCTTGTGCCATCTCTTGTCTCCCGTGCGAAACAGCGGCGTGTTGTTTGAAGACCGGTGGCTTCGCTGCGTTTCCATAGAAGCTAATTCTTTTTCTTTCTTTACGTTTTCCTCAGTAAGTTCGCTCTGCAAATTTTACAAAAAAAATTGCACCATCTGTGGGCAACGCTGCACAAAGTCGTAGCACGATAGGTTAAGAAACCGAATTTTTCGGTAGACTTAAAGAGCCTGGCCTCTCCTTGAATCACCCTGTATATCACCTCTTATTAAGCCATTTTAATGTTAAATTATTATTGAGAAGAGTCCTATATTTTGCTCCTTTTTAATTTTTGAGTGTGGTCCAAGCCTATAAGACAAATAAGCACATACACACAAACTAAAAGTATGAAGTCACGGCGCACTTTCCGCCTTTGATTGGATGAGCCAGTGGATGAGCATGCACAGAAAGATGGCGAACGCCATGACGTTGCACTTTCACCACTGTTTGATTGACCTCTCGGACTGTACCATCGGCTGTGCAGAAACTTAAGGTGAAGCAAAGTATAGGCACCCGTACTCTAAACCAAGAATCTGAGTTGATGTGATCTTTCAGGCTTGCTTCTCTGTACTATTTAAAACTGCAAGATGTCAAATACTTTTTGTAAGAAAGCACCAATTCTTACGTCAACTAGAAATTAAGACAAAAAAAAAAAGAACAGGCAACAAGGAAGGTGTAGCAGCAATCAGTGTGTTGCTAAGTGCAAGAAACCATAAAAAGCAAGCATCAAGTATTAAATACATGTGAACCTTAAAATTACTTAGCAGGCAAAAAATTATTACATACCAACTTATGTGTCTGATATCATGCCAAGGCAGTGGGGCTGGCTGTAGAAGGAGACATGCACAAATGCTTCTCTTTTTAAAAAGTTGAGTTCTTATGCATGCAAAGTGGCTACAGCTCCTGTGGGCGGAATGAGTTGTGTTAGCTGCATGCGTACTACAGCTATGGTGACAATGGCTTGTCTCGACACAATTGAAAATGTATAGCTGCTGCATGCACAGGTTGTGTATGGGGAAATCGAGGCATTGCATGTGCATAAACCTAACGTGAACATAGTGGATAATATATTAAGAATTTTACCATACCAAACACTCCATCAGTGCAGCTGCTGCAACTGTTGGTAGAGCTCTGAAAAGGGGACTGAGCTGCACACAGAACGCATTCCCAACCGTCTGATGATGCCACCTAAAAAAAGAGATACAATATACAAATAGAGCAAGTCAGAACAAGCTCAGTCACTGGGTCGATGACAGGAAAGGACAAGTATGGGAGACTCGCCTGGTTCGGAGGGCATGGCACGCAGGAAAGTTTTGTGGCACTTCGACGCACCGTCATCCGGTGACGTGGCAGGCACTTGCATGACAAGCCTGCAGACAAAGCATACTTTCATTTTGTCCAAGCCTTCTTCGGGGGGGCATAGTAGCTACCGAGACAAGAACTTCCCAGAAGATTTGTCTGAACTTTTGGGGGGTTCTGAAGAGCGTAGGCCATATCCTTCAGAAATTTAGTTCTAAAATTGTCAACTGTGATGGACAGAGAGGTTCGAGTTAGACAGAGTGGACTGAAAGCAATCAATATTCAGCTTTTCTTCTGTAGCCTGGCAAAGATTTTTTTGTTTTTTTTGTTTTATGAATTTAAAACTTTGAAAGTATGCTTAATATAAGCCTCATGAACGCACCGATGAGTCTTTCTGTTGGATTTAACAAACCCACCTGGGATGTCTCCTAACCTCAAACAACTCCACAACTCGCCATAACAAGTATGCACTCAATGAATTCTCGCTATTCTGAGGAGCTAGTCGTGGCTACCGCAAATTAAATTATGGCACATGTTTGCCAATATTGTATGAATGAAAGCATACTAGCACAGCAGTCGTTTGAATTCCTCCAAACTGAACGAGTCTCTCGGGTCGGTGAGCGAGTCTCTGGCACGCGCAATCTAATATGGGCCTGTTCACAGTGCGAGGCTTCGAATGCAGGAATACATATTACGAAATCCCACTCTGGCTTGAGAAGTGAAAGAAGCTAGAGACAATGACTGCCTTTCGCTCTATCAAAATGAGTGCCTTGAAGCGTCGGAAACACCCAGTCTCAACCTCCCCATCCTCACTCGTGCAGCCTGTTTGGCAGGTAGGCTTTCTCCAAGGGGCGATCTACGCCACACATCACGCGTGATATCGGAGGTGGTACATCAAATGTAAAGATAGTTTTGCTCGCGTTGACACTTCTCGTAACCAGAGTACCAGAAGTAATTGCGTAAGGAAAATGCGAACCGTCTTTGGATGCCACTTGAAGACCTTCTTGACCTCCGTTGGCGCCACACTTGACGCAGTTGTGAGCGATGTCGTTGTAGTAGCTATGCTCGTCGCAGTCGTTCGGTGTAACGTGCTTTAGCAGGTACCTCGACTCGGCGAAGACGACGAGTGCTGCTAGAATCACTAGCCGCCTCCCGCGTTCTGTCCCAACGCCGAAACGAATAACCATCGGAACAAGAGGGCATTCAGCAGCGTCCGTCGCCGTCGCAGAGATCCTGTTGTTAGCAACCGTTGCTAAGCGCCGGTGCTGTACGAGAACACAAAACTCGTCGCAGATGAGCGGCAGTCGCAACCAGCCACTTAAACTGCTGGATTTCGCAGCCTGCTTTAATATTTATTTTTCTAACAAAAACTTAATTAAGACTAAAAAGGGCGCGTTTCGCATACATCAAATAAAGCAGATAAATGATTAAAAGGTAAACATATCTTTCAACAATTTTACAGGTGGCGCTACTGAAGGATGCACGAAATGGCGGCGAGCACAGGACGACGCCATTTCGTGAAGAACAATGGCACGTGGAAACAGCGGAGAAACAGTAGTCAGGTTTTCTTTAAGTCGCTTTAAATAATTAATTCACTTTAGTCACGCTCAAAAGTTTTTTAGTCGACTCAAAAATAGAAAGTACACAGTTTATAATTATTTAAACGATCTATACAATAATTTTGTGCATATACGAGTTACTAAAGCAAGGTTTATAAGCGGCAGCCCCATCGCCACGTTAATCGTCGATCTTCGATTCGTCGTCTGCTTCCAGCGTTGTGGCGTGTTCGTCGTATTCATTTGCGTCAAATTGCATCATTCGTGCGCTTGAAAATCACGGCAGTGTTCGAGTTCCCCGAGGCCTGTTTCTTCTTTATTATAACAATGGCCTCGAGCCTAGTGACCACCGGACTTGCGCTCGCCGCTGTCAGTCTCGCGGGGAGAGTCGTCCTTCGATCGTCGGAAGCGTGGTCCAAGATTCTGCAGCAAAGCTGGAAGTCACTGCCCACTGCCGAATCCTTCCTCGGTTCCAAATACTACAAGGGTGGTTTCGAGGCGAAGATGAGCAAGCGAGAAGCGGGACTCGTCCTGGGCGTGAGTTCCACTGCCAGTAGGTCTAAGCTGAAGAACGGTCACAAGAAGATCATGCTGCTGAACCATCCCGATCGCGGTGGATCGCCGTACCTTGCCGCCAAAATCAACGAAGCGAGAGACTTACTGGAGGTTGGAAAAGCGAGATGACTGCAATCGTGAATCTTGTCATATTTATGTCGCGTGTCCTCATCAGTGGCTCGTTCTCGCACACTGTTTGTTAGCTGATGACTGCTGGCACACTGCCCTTGTAAAATGATGCGTCATCCCGAAATGCATGAACTATGCAACATCTGGTCACTGTTGCGTCGTGCTGCTGCGAGCAGTGCCAGCTCGGAACGTCGGCAAATAAATATACGGCGTGCAAGTTTGGAACACTCTCTCTCTCTCTCTCTCTCCCCCCCCCCCCCCCCCCCCACACACACACACACACACAAATTGTTCTTGCAGAGCGCAAGTTCGTCTGCTTCTGGCACAGGGGTTGCGATGATGCCAGAACGCCGAGCTCTTATTGGCTGATCGAAAAAATACTGGGGGGAGACCTCAAGGCATCTATCTAGCATTGAGATCTACCCACTATTTTTTTTTTTTTTTTTCTTCAATCAAAGCCATTTAGCGCTCGGCGTCTTTCTGATGTCCCCGCAACTCCTGCGCGAGAAGCAGGCGACTTGCTTTTTAGGAAAATTTAGAAAAAAATATCATTTGTCAAATTAAGTTATTAACTACGGAGCTAAAGAAAGAAAAAAAAAACTTTTTACAAGTGTGTTTTTAGACTTTCCAAAAAAAAAAAAAAAGGCTAGAGGCACAAAAAAAAACATAAAAATAATATAATCTTTGTTGACACGGGAGAGCCGCGGCGCCGCCGAAACAAGTTTTTATTCCATGTGGTGCCATCTTCGGGCCGCTGACATTTTCAGCGGTCGTGCTGTCCTCTGCCCGCTTTCCAATGCCACAAACATGCGTATGGTGGGTATTGAGACTGCAGGCTGGAGGCGAGTTAAATCAAATAAAAAGAATTGAAATTGATCTCATTGACGTGTTTCTGTCCTCATGGTCCCCCCCACCTCTTTCCTCCATTCACTCCCCGCACCCCCCCCCCCCCCACACACACACACACACACACACGCGCGCGCGGGAAGGGGGCAGATGCCGCCAGAGGTGCCCCCCCCCCCCCCCCCCCCCCAACGTGACTGGAACGCCTGGTACCCGGCATCCCACCCTCCTCCCCCGTTACTACGCCACTGGTGTAGTGCCCAAAATAATAATAATAATTTTATTTGCAAATACTGTAAGGGGCACATGTATGGTGTGCGGGGCTAGGCAGATTGGAGAACGTTCAGAATATCCTTTTGGTCAGAATAGCCCCGGCGAATTTCTATTTATGCAGAAAAAATACGGTACGGCTGGACTACAAGATACCGTGGCGATATTCAAATATCTTTGAATAATCGTCCTCGTTAACTGGAAGAGACTTGTACACTAGCGAACGTTAGAAAACACCGTCCCATTTATCCCCATCATTCTGCATGTGCAACCACCTGCTGGGTTCAAAGCCGGTCTACTTCGGTGTGCTAAAAGAAATAACAAAGAAAAAGAAGGAACGTAAGGTATTTACGCACGCATCAGCATACCGGCCAGCCGTATGCTGAAGCGAACCCACTTTTTTCCTCTTCCATTTGAGGAACTTTTCTCGCCATAGGGACAAACCGAGCTTCTCCGGGGACTTTCAATCCCGAAGAAGAAAGTAGCTGGAGGCCCTCCGCCATTACAGATGTCGTCGGTGCCACAACGGAAAATGGGCCGCCGCATTCTGCGTAAGTTCTCACATTTAGCGCGTGGCGTGTGCCACAACGTACTCCTTAACGTAGATACGACTTGCCACGATTCGCTGGGAATCTCTCGGGTAGGTTCACCGTATATAACACACAGTTCGCCTTCAATGTCCTTGTCCCGCCAAAATCTCACAAAAAAGGCGTAACATCAGGTCAGCTTTCTTTGGCGCAGGATAAAAGACGGATATAGAGGTCGAACCACGCTATTTGAAGATTAGAGAAACCTTTAGTTTATATTCAATATTAAAATACATAAATTGGTAAGGTAGGTGAACTGATCGAGAGATCTCCGGCTTAAAAAATGGGCGGCCAATTTTCTGGGGACGTGACGACGTCGGGACGGCGCCATCCCAAATACCGAAATCGAGCGATAATAGTCCGGGAAAAGCTAAAAGAGGGACCAAGGTGACCACGAGGCATTTAGTTGGTCACTTTGTAAAATAAAATGCGCGTTTCTATTTTGGCCTCGTAATAAGATCGCTTGATTAAGTTGGCCGGCCGAGCTACCCCCGTTCGTGAGGTGCGTGGACGTAGCAACGGCAGGCTCGATGAAACCACCGCAATAAAAGTGATAAACTGTTCTTGCAAAGGCAGGCAGGACTACGATAACGTCATCATGCTACCGGTGTTGCGGCTAAGTTTTATTTAAAGTGACTCCGAAATCATAATTTGACTTCACCTCTTCTTGCCTCGACGCCATTGTGAAGTGATAGTGATTTGATGTGGCGGTTGATCTCCTGAAGTGCCTCGATGTCTTCTGAAGACTACGGTGGCACGAAAGTTTTGGGTGCAATCGTCGAAAGCGAGTGCGCTGGCCTTCGAAGAATGCAGTGGCCCAAAGTGGGTGTGTGATCTTCGAAAGTTCGTCGATAGCCTTTCAAGAATGCGATGGCTCGAAAATATGTGTGTGGCCGTCTCAAGTGTGCGTGGTGCCCTTTGAAGAATGTGATGGCTTGAGGGTGTATGTGTGAGGCTGTGTATCGCTCTTTAAGAGTGGTGGTTCGAGCGCTGGTGTGTGATCTTGGGTGGTGCAGTGATAGCACTTGACGGCTCTAGTGACCCCCTTTTTTTTTTTCTTTTTTTTTTTTTTTATTGATTATTTAGCGAGTGCGCGTGTCACCAGGCAGGCTTCTAGTTCCGCGCAGCCATCTGCCGTCCGTTGTTTGGTGCTTTACGGTGTTGGTGGTGGTTCGGTGCTATTGCGGATGTGTTGTGAGTGTGTGTTGGTCCATAGAGAGCACCTCTATGGACCATCGACAAGTGTCATCGGCATGCGTGCAGCAAATCTTAGCCAAACGTGTTTTATTTTTTTTAGCAAACGTGGTTTTTAAAGGATGCGTGGTGCATTTTGTGGTGCGATGTGCGGCACACGTCAGCAGTGAAATCGCGAAGGTTATGGTGGTTTTTATCGTTTTGTATCAGGGTTTTTGTGGCGCATCTTTGGATACAAGAAGTGCAGTGCTGCGTGCCATCGTGAGCGATGTGAATGGGATCGTCGGCTGGAGTTGTGTGGTAGGTGTAGTGCGTCCGTGTAAGGCCACCTAGTGTACCGACTGGGTGCCAAAGTGCTGTGCTACGTGTGCGTGGTGTCTGTGCGCGTGCATGGAGGAAGAGATCAGAGTTATTCGGTGCGTAATAATAAGTTGATGCGTGGCAGCGTCTTAGTTCTACCTCCAGGAAGTCTGTGCTCAAGTCTGCTGCGATTTGATGTGGCACGGTTCAAGGCACCTCCAGCTCGTCACTGTGCTGTCGGGAAGTGAAAATCGGCCACCCCCGTGCGTCCAGTGTGTATCTCTTGAGATCGCTGCAACGAAGAAGTCGCTCACCCCCAAGTCAGGCGCGTTTCATGGTTGAAGTTCGCGCGCGCTCTCGTAGCGCAAGTTCACGCTGTGAGCTTTCTATGTGCCATGTGCCCTGCGCCGATCGCCCAAGTTCGCGAAGTGTGAATTTTCAGTGTGTCAGGTCAAAGCCGCTTTGGTCAGGTGCCCTGCGTCAATAGTGTAAGTCCGCGCGGTATGAGTTTTCCGTGTGTCACGTGTGCAGGTACGCGCAGTGTTTTTTTTTTGTTTTTTTTCGTGTGTCACGTGTGCTGCGCCGAGCGCAAGGTCGCGCAGTGTGAGTTTTCCGTGTGTCACGTGCCCTGCTCCGATTGCGTGATTTCACTCAGTGGAAGTTTTCCGTGTGTCACGTGCCCCTGCGCCGATATCGTGTATTCGCTCAGTGGGAGTTTTCCGTGTGTCACGTGCCGTGCGCCGATATCGTGAGTTCGCTCAGTGGCAGCTCTCCGTGTGCCACGTGCCGTGCGCCGATATCGTGAGTTCGCTTAGTGGGAGTTTTCCGTGTGTCATTTGCCCTGCGCCGATGGCGTAAGTTCATACAGTGAGTTTTCCGTGTGTCACGTGCCCTGCGTCGATATCGTGAGTTCGCTCAGTGGGAGTTTTGCTTGTGTCACGTGCCCAGCGCCGACCGTGCAGGTTCGCTCAGTGGGAGTTTTGCTTGTGTCACGTGCCCAGCGCCGACCGTGCAGGTTCGCTCAGTGTTGTTTTTTTTTTTTTTTCGTGTGTCACGTGCCCTGCGCCGAGTGCAAGGTCGCGCAGTGTGAGTTTTCCGTGTGTCACGTTCCCTGCGCCGATAGCGTGAGTTCGCTCAGTGAGAGTTTTCCGTGTGTCACGTGCCCTGCGCCGACATTGTGATTTCGCTCAGTGGGAGTTTTCCGTGTGTCACGTGCCCTGCGCCGACATTGTGATTTCGCTCAGTGGGAGTTTTCCGTGTGTCACGTGCCGTGCGCCGATATCGTGAGTTCGCTCAGTGGGAGTTCTCCGTGTGTCACCTGCCCTGCGCCGGTAGCGTAAGTTCATACAGTGAGTTTTCCATGTGTCACGTGCCCTGCGCTGACATTGTGAGTTCGCGCAGTGTGAGTTTTCCGTGTGTCACGTTCCCTGCGTCGATAGCGTGAGTTCGCTCAGTGGGAGTTTTCCGTGTGTCACGTGCCCGGCGCCGACATTGTGAGTACGCTCAGTGGGAGTTTTGCTTGTGTCACGTGCCCAGCGCCGACAGTGCAGGTTCGCTCAGTGTTTTTTTCCGTGTGTCACGTGCCCTGCGCCGAGTGCAAGGTCGCGCAGTGAGTTCTCTGTGGTTCACGTGCTAGCTCTGCGCCGATAGCGTGTGTTCGCTCAGTGGGAGTTTTCCGTGTGTCAAGTGCCCTGCGCCGATAGCGTGAGTTCGCTCAGTGGGAGTTTTCCGTGTGTCAAGTGCCCTGCGCCGATAGCGTAAGTTCATACAGTTTTCCGTGTGTCGCGTGTCATGCGCCGATATCCTGAGTTCGCACGGTGAAAGTTTTGCGTGTGTCACGAGCCCAGCGCCGACAGTGCAGGTTCGCGCAGTGTTTTTTTCCGCGTGTCACGTGCCCTTCTCCGATATCGTGAGTTCGCCCAGTGGGAGTTTTCCGTGTGTCACGTGCCCTGCGCGGATAGCGTAAGTTCATACAGTGAGTTTGTCGCGTGCCCTGCACCGATATCGTGAGTTCGCTTAGTGG